ACTACGAAAGAGCAAATTATTAATCGATTATTTTCGATTAATCGATTATTTTCAATAAATAAATGATAATTATCGATTTTTTAAAAAACTAATAATCGATTATTTTGCCTACCTTTGTAAATAACTGTCAAGGTTATATAGTAATATTTTAAATCTACGAAAAAGCAAATTATTAATGGATTATTTTCGGTTAATCAATTATAATCGATTATTTTTAATAAATGCACGATAATCATCGATTTTTCAAAAAAAAAAAACTAAATCGATTATTTTACCTACCTTTGTAAATTTGAGTCACCAGAGATACTGTCAAACAAATATTTCGAGAACAAGGAAAATTTGCAGAAATTAATAGAAATACCCTTTAATTTTATATTATTTTGATGTATTTCGATTATGAAACGCAAAATAATTTATTATTTTAAATTAATCGATAATAATCGATTATTTTAACTAATTAACTCACTCCTATCGATAATTCGATATTATAAAACATTAAAATAAATTAAATAATATCGATTGAAAATAATCTCGAATTATGAAAAACAAACGATTAAACAAAAATAATCGATCTTTCGATTAATCAAATTATCGAACACAATCGATTAAGACAAAATAATCAATTATTTTCAATCAATCGATTAATCGAAAATAATCAATTATCTTTAATTAATCGATTAATTAAAAAAATTAAATAATCGATTATTTGATTCTAAAGCCATCGATTAATCTAAAATTATCGATAAATTAAAAATAATCTTAAATAATCGATTAATTGAAGATAATGGAATAATCGAATAATGGAATAATCTAACAATCGAAAATATTAATCAAAAATAATCAATTAATCGAAAATAATCGATTAATGGAAAATTAATTAATTGATAATAATAAATTAGTTGAAAATAATTGTTTAATCAAAAATATACAATTAATTAAAAATCATTCATAAAATGAAAATAATTTATTAATCGAATAATCATTGTTTAATCGAAAATAATTAATTAATCGAAAATATTTGATTAATCGAAAACCATCGATTAATATAAAATTATCGATTAATTAAAAATAATTGAAAAAATCAAAAATAATCTTGAATAATCGAAAATAATGGAATAATCAGTTAATTGAAAATAATCGAAAAATTGAAAATAATTGAATAATCGATCAATAGAAAATTAATTAATCGATAATAATAGTTTAGTTGAAAATAATTGTTTAATCAAAAATATACGATTAATTGAAAATCATTAATAAATTGAAAATATTTGATTAATCGAAAATAATCGATTAATCATTGATTAATCGAAAATAATCAATTAATCAAAAATAATCGATTAATCGAAAATTAATTAATCGATAATAATAGATTAGTTGAAAATAATTGTTTAATCAAAAATATACGATTAATTTAAAATCATTAATAAATTGAAAATAATTGATTAATCGAAAATAATCGATTAATCATTGATTAATAGAAAATAATCAATTAATCGAAAATATTCAATTATTCGAAAATATTTTATTAATCAAAAGCCATCGATTAATCTAAAATTATCGATTAATTAAAAATAATTGAAAAAAAAAAAACAAAAATAATCTTGAATAATCGAAAATAATGGAAGAATCAGTTAATTGAAAACAATCGAAAAATCGAAAACGATGGAATAATTGAATAATCTATTAATCGAAAATATTATATTAATCGAAAATATTCAATTAATCGATAATAATAAATTAGTTGAAAATAATCGAATAATCATTTAATTAATCGAAAATAATCAACTAATCAAAAATAATCGACTAATTGAAAATAATGGAATAATCTGTTAATCGAAAATAATGGATTAATTGAAAATAATCGATTATCAAAAATAATCAATTAATCGAAAATACTCGATTAATCAAAAATATTCGATTAATCGAAAATAATCAATTAGTCAAAAATAATCGACTAATTGTCGTAATAGTTGACAAATCGAATAATTAAATAAACGAACACATCGAAAGTAATCGATTATTCAAAACGATTATTTTTAATTAATATTTTCGATTAGTTAGTTATTTTGGATAAATTGGTAAAGTAAAAATAATCAATAATATTCGATTTATCGAAAATAATCGACTATTCGAAAGTGATCATTAAATTGAATATAATCGATTATTTAGAAATGATCATTTAATTGAAAGTAATCGAATAATTTAAAATAATAGATAAATCGAAAATAATTGGTTAATCGAAAATAATCGATTAATCCAAAATAATCCAATTGTCGTAAATAATCGAACAATTGCAAATATTCGATTAATTGAAAATAATCAATTAACAAATTGAATAATTAATCGAGAATAATTGAATCGTCTAAATTATTCGAAAGTAATCGATTATTTTCGATTAATCGGTTATTTCAATAAATTAGTAAATAGAAAATAATTAATTTTGATTATTTGATTGTTCAATTAATCGATTCATTTCGATTATTGGATTATTTTGGCTAAATCGATTGTGTTCGATCATTCAATTAACCAAGAAATCGATTATTTTCGCTTGATCGACTATTTTCCATTATTAGAGATTATTTTTCATTAATCGTTTATTTTCAATCGATATTTAATTGATTTTATTGTTTTATAATATCGAATAATCGAAAATAGCGAATTTTATAAAAAACAACTCGATAAATCGATTATTTTTCCCGCCTCTAATAGCAATGTGGCAGGTGTAAAATTCAAATTCTAAACGTCAGTGCAGTGTGGAGTGGAATGCGCATTGAGGACACTAAACTACAAGATTATTACATAATCCGGTTGTCCATTTAGTATGTAATCTTTCGATGTTTCAAATCGTTTAAGATAATCACCTACAACTTAACATTGTTTTTTTTTTAATCGATATAAATTATTTTCGATGATCGATTATTTTCGATTAATCGATTATAAACGAAACACTCAATCACAGAGCCGCCTTCTACATAAGTAATTGCGAGGACATGCCCTCTTAAAATTAATAATAAAAAGTTTTTCCGATGATTCTAACTTAAGTAGACATCCTGTATAACACGATATGAAATATCGAGATATTGCGCACCAAATGGACTCTATCTAGGTATACTAAAAACGAATAATACTAGTAATGGCACTGGGTATTAAAAGACAGGAACAATTACAGGAATAATTACAGGAACAATTGCAGGAACAATTACAAGAACAATTATAGAAGTCAAAAATACATAAGCAAGTCAGAAGGATTTTGCAGCAGACATACTTTTCATTAAAATACATAATCGATTATCGATTAATTAAAATAATCGATTATATTTGATTATTTTCAATTGTTCAGTTCAGAAAATTATCGATTAATTTTATTAACAGTTTACTTTCGATTATTCAACTAATTATTGTGTTCGATTATTCGATTATTGTATATCGATTATTTTGTTTATTTAGTAATTTTAAAATTATCAATAAAAACTAATTATTTTCAATTAATCGATTATTTTCAATAAATCGATTAATTTCAATTAATCGATTATTTGTAAGTATTCTATTATTTTCGAATTGTAAATTATTTTCGATTAATCGATTATTTTTCATTAATTGACTATTTTCAATTGTTCGATTATTTTTGATTAATCGATTATTTTTAATTATTCGATTATTTTTTATTAATCGATTATTTTTTATAATCGATTATTTTTTTATTATTTATTATTAATCGAATATTTTCGATTTTATTAATCGAATGTTTTATATTATTCAATTAATCGATTCTTTCGATTGATCGATTATTTTTTCCATATCTATTGTTTTCGGTTAATCGATTAATTGAGAAATCGATTATTTTCAGTATTCAATTATCAAATATTTATTTTCGATTACTTGATTATTTTTGCGTTATCGATTATTTTCGATTATTCAGGTATTTTCAAAAAATTTATAGATAATCGTTAAATTGATTATTTCCGAATAATCGGACTATCTTTATTAAATTAATCGATAATCGATATTATTTCATCTATTTTGAATCCTCTATTCGATTGTTTATAAATTACTCGATTAATGAGGTAATTAAACGATCGAATTATCAATAGGACCGATCGATTATCAAAATAAATATTCGATTAATTTTTTATTTTTGAGTTATTGAAAATTTTCCGTTCTGTATTTTTGAATAATCGATTATTTTCTAGTATTTTTGATTAATCGATTATTCTTGATTAATCGAATATTTTCGATTATTCTTGATTAATCGAATATTTTCGATTATTTTTATTAACTGAATATTTTATATTATTCGATTAATCAATTATTTTCGATTATCGATTTTTCTAAAAAAAAATTAATCAATAACCAATCGATTTTTTGTCCATCCTACAATTATTATTAAATTTGTAAAAGACAACAGTTGACATTCGAATTTTGTCAAAATAATGCATCTATTAAACCCATCAAATGTCTGTCACGATAATTAGGGATGGCCAAAATAATCGATTATATTATTTAATCGATATTAGATTAATATCGATAATAGTCGATTTTTCGTTTATTTTCTATTAATTAATCAATTGATTATTTTCGATTAATCGATTTTTTTCGATTAATTGACTATTTTCGATTAATCGATTATTTTCTATTAATTTCGATTATTCGATTATTTTAGATTATTCAATTGTTTTCGATTATTTTCAATTAATTGATTATTTTCGATTAATCGATATTTTTTATTAATCGATTATTTTCGATTAATTTCGAATTTTCGATTATTTTAGATTATTCAATTATTTTCGATTAGTTTCAATTAATCAATTATTTTCATTTTTAATTAATCGATTATTTTCGATTAATCGACTAACCGATCATTTTTATTAATCGATTATTTGTATTAATCGATTTTTTTAGATTATTCAATTATTTTCAATTAATCGATTATTTTCGGTTAATCGATTATTTTCGATGAATCGATTATTTGTATTAATCGATTATTTTCGATTATTTGATTATCTTAGATTACTCAATTATTTTCAATTAATCGATTATTTTCGATTATTTTTAATTAATCGATTATTTTCGATTAATCCATTATTTTTTTATTTAGGGAATAGGTGTATGTACCTAATATGCCTGTCTCAGTTTTGTGTTTAAATTCTCAATCATGTGTGTTCTGTATAGGCTTTATTATTGTTTCCCAGCGCCACTTCAGGAACAGTACTGTTAAATTAGAACCCAACAGTGAATAGTCGAGTGGGGAATCCTACCAAGGCATCAGAATTAATTTTAAATAAATTAAATTAAAAAAATACGGCCAACGGTGGGATTCGAACCTGGGACCCTTGGATCAGCAGGCAGGGACTTTACCACTGAGCCACCCACCCCCCGATTAATCGACTATTTTCGATTAATCAAGTATTTTTGAATAATCGATTATTTTCTAGTATTTTTTATTATTCGATTATTTTCAACTAATCATTTAAGTACAAATATTCGTTAATTTATTATTAATCGATTACTTCTGATTAATCAAATATTTTGATTATTTTTATTTTTTAAATGTTTTATATTATTCAATTAGTCGATTATTTTCGATTATCGATTTAAAAAAAATAATTACCAATTGATTTTTTTTTTGTACATTCTTAGTCGGAAGCTGAACAAGAGTTGCCATGTAAATTTTGTCAAAATAATGCATCTATTTATCCTATCAAATGTAAGTTTTGTCATGATAATTAGGGGTGGTCAAAATAATCGATAAGTCGATTATTATATTTTCGATTATTCGTTTATTTTTAATTAATCGATTAATCGAGTATTTTCGATTAATATATTAGATTATTTTCAGTTATTATTCATTAATTGCGATTAATAGATTATTTTCGATTATATTAAATAATCGATCATCGATTATTTATTTTGATCATTGCTCAGTCCTAATGATAATATTTAAATTAACAAATGGATGTTAAAGCAACTTAAGAAACGAGAGTTGTATTTAGCGATGTCCACATTAAAATCCTTCTAGAAATTAAGAAATACCAGCAGGAAAATATTTTCAGAGATTTCTAAAGTTCGTCATGTTCTGTGTGCTCAGCTTCTTTTATAATTTGTTTCACTCTTTTCAACATTTGAGCGGGGTCTTCGACTTCTATAGGAAAAAAAGAATCGGGCGCTAGGTAAAGTCTCAGTGTTGGATATTCTCTTATTCCTAAACGGCCGCAAGAAACTCGGTCCTCTTCGCAATCGACTTTTGCGCTTCGAACTTTTCCTTCCAATCGCTAGAAATAAAAAAATCACATTTTCTCCATCACAGATAAATTATTTAACAAAAAACACGAATCAGCTATTATTTATTTCTCAAAAAAAAAGAAAAAAAGAAAAAAATACTCTAAAATACGAAAATTTGTAATATTTTATTACTTACTAGAGCTAAGGTTCGAAAATCCGGTTCGAAGTGAATGCAATGTCCGCACCAGGGTGCGTAGAAATCAACTATCCAAGGTAATATGTATTTTCTGGTTAGAACTTGTTTTTCCAATTCTTTGGCCGAAAAATGTTCGACTGGCGATGGCAAAAAACTGATCACCCAGCGTTTTAATGACAGTGTGTCCCTCTTTCCATTATAAATTCTAAAATTAAAAAAAAAATGCTTTGGCGAATAATACAATAGAGCTAAAAAAAGTCAAACATAATCTAGTAATTATTATTAATCAATAATTCATAATTAGAGGTGGACAAAATAATCGATAATCTAATTATTATTTTTTAAATTAATCGAAAATAATCGATGAGTTGAATCATTGAAAATAATCGATTAAATAGAAAATCAAAAATAATCGAACAAAATCGATTTTCTATTAATTGATAATAACTATTCGAAAATAATCGATTTTTCAAAAACAATCAAACTAAAACAGCCGATTAAGCGAAAATAATTGATTAAGTGAAAATAGTCGATTAAACGAAAATAATAGATTAAGCAAAAATAATCGATTAAGCAAAAATAATTAATTGAATAATCGATTAATCGGAAAGAATCGATTAATTGAATAATTTGAAATAATTAATTATTTTTAATTTGCCAATTAATCGAAAAAATCGAATATTTTTCATTAATAGATTAATCGAAAATAATCGATTATTATTTTAATAATTCGATATTATAAAACGATCGTTTTATTACCTTATTAATACGTATTTTAATTAAATAATTATTAATAATCGATAAATAAAAAAAAATCGAATATAATATTAAAAATCAATTAAATAATATCGATGTCTGTCGATTAGTCTAATAATCGGTAATCCGATTATTGGGATATAATTAATTTAACGATTAATCGATAATAATTAATTTTCTATTACTTGAAAATAACTGCTGGAATAAAATATTCGATCTCTCGATTAATCAAAAAATCGATTAATCGAAAATACTTAATAGATTAATTAAACATTAAATAAAAATTGATTAAAATTAATAAAACGAAATAAAAATAAATTAAATATTAAAAATGAATAAAAAATAAAAATAAACATTCAAATAAATTCGAATAAAACAGACAACAAATTCGAATAAATTTAAAGAAATTCGAATAAAATAGAAAACAAATTCGAATAAATTTAAAGAAATTCGAATAAATTCGAACAAATTCGAATAAATTCGAATAAATTCGAATAAATTCGAATAAATTCGAATAAATTCGAATAAATTCGAATAAATTCGAATAAATTCGAATAAATTCGAATAAATTCGAATAAATTCGAATAAATTCGAATAAATTCGAATAAATTCGAATAAATTCGAATAAATTCGAATAAATTCGAATAAATTCAAATAAATTCAAATAAATTCAAATAAATTCAAATAAATTCAAATAAATTCAAATAAATTCAAATAAATTCAAATAAATTCAAATAAATTCAAATAAATTCAAATAAATTCAAATAAATTCAAATAAATTCAAATAAATTCAAATAAATTCGAGAAAAGAATACAATAAATTCCAATAAATTCGAATACATTTAAAAAAAAAATTCAATTAATTCAAATAAATTTGAAAAAATATTTAATAAAATCGAATAAATTCGGATAACTTCGAATAAATTCAAATAAATTAAAAAAATCAAATAAATTCAAGTAAATTCAAGTTAATTCAAATAAATTCGAAAAAATTTCAATAAATTCGAAAAAAAAATTCCAATAAATTCCAATAAATTTAAAAAAATTCAATAAATTCAAATAAATTCGAAAAAAAATTCAATAAATTTGAAAATTACAATAAATTTAAATTCAAATAAATGCAATTTTTTAATTCAAGTAAATTCAAGAAAGTTTAAAAACATTCTAGTAAATTGAAATAAATTCAAGTAAATTCAAGTAAATTCAAGTAAATTCAAGTAAATTCAAGTAAATTCAAGTAAATTCAAGTAAATTCAAGTAAATTCAAGTAAATTCAAGTAAATTTAAGTAAATTCAAGTAAATTTAAGTAAATTCAAGTAAATTCAAGTAAATTCAAGTAAATTCAAGTAAATTCAAGTAAATTCAAGTAAATTCAAGTAAATTCAAGTAAATTCAAGTAAATTCAAGTAAATTCAAGTAAATTCAAGTAAATTCAAGTAAATTCAAGTAAATTCAAGTAAATTCAAGTAAATTCAAGTAAATTCAAGTAAATTCAAGTAAATTCAAGTAAATTTAAGTAAATTTAAGTAAATTTAAGTAAATTTAAGTAAATTCAAGTAAATTCAAGTAAATTCAAGTAAATTCAAGTAAATGCAAGTAAATTCAAGTAAATTCAAGTAAATTTAAGTAAATTCAAGTAAATTCAAGTAAATTCAAGCAAATTCAAGAAAATTCAAGTAAATTCAAGCAAATTCAAGTAAATTCAAGTAAATTCAAATAAATTCAAGTAAATTCATATAAAAACAAATTCGGAAAAATTTTAATAAATTCAAATAAATTCGAATAGGTTCATTTTTTAATTCAACAAATTCAAGTAAATTCGCGCAAATTCGCGAAAATTCAAGTAAATTCAAATAAAAACAAATAAGTTCCAAAAAATTCAATAAATTCGAGAAAAAAATACAATAAATTCCAATAAATTCGAATTAATTCAAATAAATTCGAAAAAAAAATCAATAAATTCGAATAAATTTGAATAAATTTTAAAAAATCAATTAATTCAAATAAATTAGAAAATATTTCGTTAAATTCGAGAAAATTGCAATAAATTCAAATAAATTCGAACAAATTCGAATAAATTTGAATCAATTCAAATAAATTCGAATACATTCAAAAAAAAATGTAAAAATTCAAGTCAATTTAAATAAAAACAAATAAATTCAAAGAAGTTCCAATAAATTTAAATAAGTTCCAATAAATTCGAAAAATTACAATAAATTCGAAAAAATTACAATAAATTCGAAAAAATTACAATAAATTCGAATACATTCGAATAAAATCGAACAAATTCTAATAAATTTTAAAGAATCAATTAAATCTTATCAATTAGAAATAATTTCAATAAATTCGAAAAAAATTACAATAAATTCGAATAAATTTGAATAAATTCAAATAAATTTGAAAAAATTCGAATAAATTCGAATACATTAAAAAATAAAAATTCAAGTAAATTCAAATAAAAACAATAATAAATTCGAAAAAAATTCAATAAATTTAAAAAAATACAATAAATTCTAATAAATTCCAATAAATTCGAATAGATTTTAAAAAATTCAATTAAATTAAAAAAAAAATCAATAAATTCGAAAATATTTAAATAAATTTGAATAAATTTCAATACAGTCGAAAATATTCGAATAAATTAAAATAAACCAACAACTTTAATTACTTACGCTATACTGTTTAATCCTCTGCTACCTAAAGGATATAACCTAATGGTAGGGTAATTCCTAATGTTTTGCGATTCGCACAGATCAGAATTTACCACACAGTCTACTTGGGCTACTTTCACCTCGCTCAAACTGGATACCTAGTATTAAACAAAACATTAGAGATATTTTCTCAATACTATTTAATTTATAAAAAAAATGCATGAAATTTTATATTAGTGAAACTACCTGCTTAGCTAGTTGCCTCCATTGCGGTCCTAATTTTTGACAGGGACCGCACCAAGGAGCGAAAAAGTCTACTATCCAAAGTTCTTCCTTGGGTTTTCTCATTAGCTGAATGAAATTGGTGTCGTCCAAAATAATAACTACAATTTATAAAAATCCCATGAATACATTTAAAAAAAAAATCTCAATAATGAGGTAGAATGGTAGAAAATATAAAATTCTTTACTATTCGTTTACTATTCGTCGGACGATGTCGGGCGATTATAAAAATTAATATTAGAATATTCGATTTCTAGATTAATTTCAAATAATCGACTATTTTCAATATAATCGATTATTTTTGTTTAAAATAAATGTAAACTTAAATTTTACCATAATTTTTAATGCAAGTTGTTGCCCACAATACATTTTTTATTAGAAAGAAGAATTAATCGATTATTGACCATCGAATAATCGATTATTGTCTATTAGTAATCGATTATTTTAAATTAATTTATTATAGATTAGTCGATTATTCGATTAAACGATCATTAGAATATTTTAAATAATCAGTTAATCTTTTATTTGAAAATATTCCATTAATTGATCAAAAATAATCGATTAATCGAAAATTATTAATTAATCAAAAATAATCGATTAATCGAAAATAATCAACTAATCGAAAATAATCGACTAATCTAAAATAAATTAATTTAAAATAATCGATTACTTAATAAACAATATTCGATTATTCGATGGTCAATGATCGATTAATTGATCGACAATAATCGATTAATAGTAATCGAAAATAGTCCATCAATCTAAAATAATCAATTAAACGAAAATAATGGATAAATCGAAAATTGTCAATAAATCGAAAATAGTGAATTAATTTAAAATATTCGATTAGCCGAAAGTAATCAATTAATGGTTTAATAGAAAAATTAATTGTAAATAATCGATTAATTAATCGGCAATAATCGATCGACAACCGATTAATTGATTGAAAATAATCGAAAATAGTCGATTGAAAATAATGGATTAATCGAAAATAATAGATTAATCTAATATATTCAATTAATATAAAATATTCGATTAATCGAAAATAATAAATTAATTGAAAATTATCGACTAATTAATCGATTATTCGATCGACAATAATCGATTAATCAATTAAAAATAGTCGAAAATAGCCAATTATTCCAAAATATTGGATTAATCGAAAATAGTCTATTAATAGAAAATAGTAGATTAATCGAAAATAGTCGATTAATCGAAAATAATGTAATCGATTAATTAAAAATAGTCCATCAATAGAAAATAATCAAGTATTCGAAATTAATTGATTAAGAGAAAATTGATTAATCGAAAATAATATAATCGATTAATTAAAAATAGTCTATCAATCGAAAATAATCGAATAATAAAAAATAATAAATTAATCGAAAATATGGAATAATCGAAAATAACCGATTAATCGAAAATAACCGATTAATCGAAAATAATCGATTTATAGAAAATAATCGATAATCCAAAAATAATCGATTATTCACAAAAATTAATTAATTCTAAATAATCGATTATTTAATGGGCAATAATCAATCGACAACAACCGATTAATCGATTAAAAATAATTAATCGAAAATTATCAATTAATTGAAAATAATCGATTAAACATAATTGACTAATGGAAAATAATGGAATCTAAAATATTGGATTAGTCGAAAATAATCCATAAGTAAATCGAAAATAATCGATTATTAGAAAATCACCGATAAACCGAAAATAATGGACTGATCGACAAATTTTTTGTAAATAATCGATTACCTGATAATCGTAATAATCGATCGACAATAACCGATTAACTGATTGAAAATAATCGAAAATATTAAATTAACTGAAAATTATCGATTAATTAATCAATTATTCGATCGACAATAAATGATTTATCGACCGACAATAATCGATTAATTTTAATTGATTAATGGACGAAAATAGTCAATTAATCGAAAATAGTCGATTAATCGAAAATAATATAATCGAGTAACTGTTAATAGTCGATCAATAGAAAATAATCGATTAATCGAAAATAATTTATTATTTGAAAATAATTATCCATCGAAAATAATCAATTAATTGAAAATATAATCGATTAATTAAAAATAGTCGATCAATAGAAAATAATCGATAAATTGAAATTAATTGATTAGGAAAAATCGATTAATTGAAAATAATCGATTAATCGAAAATAATCAATAAATCGAAAATAATTTATTCGAAAATAATGTATCGAAAATGATCGATTAGTCGAAAATAATATAATCGACTAATTAAAAATAGTCTATCAATCGAAAATAATCGAATAATAAAAAATAATGGATTATTCGAAACTATTGAATAATCGAAAATAATCAATTTATAGAAAATAATCGATTAACCGAAAATAATCAATTATTCACAAAAATTAATTAATTCTAAACAATCGATTAATTAATCCGCAATAATCGATCGACAACAACCGATTAATCGATTGAAAATAATCGAAAATAGTCAATCTTTTGAAAATAATGGATTATTCGATAATAATATCGTTTAATTGAAAATAGTAGTTCAATCAAAAATAATGGATTAATCGAAAATATTCGATTAATCGAAAATATTCGATTAATCGAAAGTAATAAATTAATTGAAAATTATCGACTAATTAATCGGCAATGATTATTCGATCAACAATAAACGATTACTCGATCGACAATAATCGATTAATCAATTTAAAATGGTCGAAAATAGCCAATTAATCGAAAATAATGGATTAATCGAAAATAGTCTATTAATAAAAAACAGTAAAATACTCGAATATAATCGATTAATCGAAAATATAATCGATTAATTAAAAATAGTCGATCAATACAAAATAATCGATTAATCGAAAATAATCAAGTATTCGAAATTAATTGATTAGGAGAAAATCGATTAATAGAAAATAATATAATTGATTAATCAATTGAAAATAGTCAAAAATAGCCAATTAATCAAAAATAGTTTATTAATATAAAACAGTAGATTAATCAAAAATAATCAATGATTCGAAATTAATTGATAAATAGAAAATCGACTAATCGAAAATAATATAATCGAGTAATTGTTAATAGTCGATTAATCGAGAATAATTTATTATTCGAAAATAATATATTTGCCGAAAATAATATAATCGATTAATTAAAAATAGTCGATAAATAGAAAATAATTAATTAATCGAAAATATTCGATTAATCTAAAATAATCGATTAATGAAAAATAATTGATTAATCGAAAATAATCGATTAATCGAAAATAAATGATTAATAAAAAATAATGGATTATTCGAAAATATTAAATAATCGAAAATAAATAAATAATTAATCGAAAATAATATCGATTAATTGAATATAATAATTAATCAAAAATATTATAATCGATTAATTGAATATATCGATTAATCGAAAATAATGGATTAATCCAAAATAATGAATAAATCGAAAAAAGTCAATTGAAAATAATTGATCAATCGAATATATTATAATCGATTAATTAAAAATAGTCGATCAATAAAAAATCAATTAATCTAAAATAATCGATTAATCGAAAATAATGGATTAATCGAAAATATTGAATAATCGAAAATAATCGATTATTCGAAAATAATATAATCGAGTAATTGAAAATAGTCAATCAATGGAAAATAATCGATTAATTGAAAATAGTCGATTAAACGAAAATAATCAAATAATCGAAAATAATATCGATTAATTGAAAATAGTGAATCAACCGAAAATATCGATTAATCGAAAATAATTGATTAATTAAAAATAATTGATTTATCAAAAATATTTGATTAATAAAAAATAATTGATTGATCGAAAATAATTCATTATTCGAAAATACACTTCCCCAATAAATTAACGCACCATCGAAAAATAACAAAAAGTTTAAAGTAAATATTTGTCAAAACCACTTGTCTGTTTTGGACGACTTTTTTTTTAATGACAGGTTGCCTCTTCCACAACGTCGGTTTGCTAACTGTGTTTGCATAAAATCCTTTTTTTTATTAATACAGGGTGTAGCAATTATAGCATGAATTTTTCATAAAAGTTGTAACACCCTGTAGAGTGCAATAGTTACATTACCAAGTTCGCATTGATATCACAAGTTAGCCTTATCTTCTCTTAACAATTTCATTTTTTAGTTACTCCATTATGTTTCCTATTACATGAGAAACTCAAGTTTATAACTTAACATGACATTATTAATTTGCATTAGCATTATAAGCACTAAAGTAAGCAAGCATGCTATGGAAAAACCAGTAATTGTCAAATACAGATGCGTATTGTCAGTATTTAGTCCATTCGCCATTTTTTGCAAAAAAAATTATTAAACAATATGCCACGAAATCTTACTCGCGAAGAATGTGCTCAAGCTTTAATATTGTTTCAAGAGGGTTGGAGTTACCGAAGAATTGGTGAACGATTTGACGTAACCCACACAACCGTTTCACGAGTTATACAAAGATATAGAGAGACTGGAAATCATGGTCGTAGGCCGGGACAAGGAAGAAACCGAGTAACTACTCCGATTCAGGATCGATTTTTAAGACTGTCAGCATTAAGACAACGTTTTGTAACAGCTCGGACCCTTAAAACCCAGCTTCAGGATACTAATGGTTTAGAAGTTTGTATAGAAACTGTTCGTCAGCGACTAAGGGCACATAATTTGCGGCCTAGAATAGCTGCTCGAGGTCCAGTTCTTAGAGTTCATCGCAGAGCAAGACTAAATTTTGCCAGAGAGCATCGTAACTGGTTAGAGGCTGAATGGCAATAGGTATTATTTACTGATGAGTCTCGATTTCGTCTGTATAACAATGACAGGCGTATGCGCGTATACCGACGCCCTAATGAACGGTATGCTCAGTGTAATTTCTCACATACAACATTATTTGGAGGAGGATCCTGATGGTATGGGGAGGCATTTCTTTGACTGGTCGCACAGAACTTGTAATCTTAAATGGAAGCCTTATAGCTGACAGGTACATATTGGAGATTTTAGACGAACATGTAGTTGCATTTGTACCATATATAGGGCAAGGATTTTTGTTGATGCAAGATAATGCCAGGCCTCATGTTGCTCGAGTTATGAGAAATTATCTAGAGGAACTCGGTATCTCTACCATGGCATGGCCAGCTCGGAGCCCGGATTTAAATCCGATAGAAAATCTCTGGGATACTCTTGGGAGGAGATTACAAGAGGAACGTAATCTGAACTCTATGGAAGATATACGGCAGAGACTGATTCAAATATGGGAAGAATTGGACCAAAATGACATAAGGTCTCTTATTTTAAGTATGGGCCACCGTTGTCAAGAAGTTATTTGTGCCAGAGGCGGAAATACTCGTTACTGACACTTATTTCGTTACATTTTGTTTCGTGTTTTCATTTTTAAATTTTGATATTAATTTTTAATAAAATCATGTTATGTTATAAATTAATGTTTCTCGAATAATGACAAAGATAATGGAGTAAATAAGAAACGAAATTGTTAAGAAAAGATAAGGCTACATTGTGAGATCAATTCTAACTTTGTAATGTAACTGTTGCACTCTACAGGGTGTTACAACTTTTATGAAAAAATTATGTTATAATTGATACACCCTGTATTAATAAAAAAGAGGGTTTTATACAAACACAGTTAGCACACCGATGTTGTGAAAGAGACAACCTTTCATTTAAAAAAAAAATCGTCCAAATCAGCAAGTGGTTTTGACAAATATTTACTTTAAACTTTTTGTTATTTTTTGATGGTGCGTTAATTTATTGGGGAAGTGTAATTTATTAATGTAAAATAATCTATTGATCGATTAATCGAAAATAATATATTAATCTATTACTCGAAAATAATCGGTTAATCGAAAATAATCTATTAACCGAAAATAATCTATTGATCGATTAAACGAAAATAATTTTAAAAAAGTAAAACATTAATAAAACAAAAATCTTACCTATTGGATTCATCATATCGTACAAGAAATCGGTGATACTATTGGCGTCGGGTACTCCATGAAAAACGTTAGTTTGAGAATTATTGTATAAAATTGTCGTCGGATACGAATTGATTCCCTGCCTCCGGCAAAGTTCCCTGTGCGACGTACAATCGACGGTACCGAATTGAATTTTCTCCGGATCGAAATTTTGACTGGCTTTCCTCAATTCCGGCAACAGTTTTCGGCAAGGCGGACACCAGGGGGCGTACCAATCGATGAACCATAAAGTACCTAAACATTAAACAAAAATATCATATATAGGGATAGAAAAAATAATCGATAATCGATTAATTGAATATTCAAGAATAATCGATTCATTGAATAATCAAAATTAATCGAAGGTAATCGATTAATCAAAGATAATCGAATAATCTAAAATAATCGATTATATTATTTATTTTGATAATCGCCCAGCCCTATCGATAATTCGATATTATAAAACCATCATTTAATTAACTAATATGTCATTAGATTATAAATTTACTAATAATCGAATGTAATATTAAAAATAAATTAAATAATACCGATATATCGATTAATCTAGATATCCATAATCCGATTATTCGGAAATAATTTAACGATTAATCGAAAATAATCGATTAACTGAATAATTTGAATGAAAAAAATTGAAAATAACTGATTAATGGAAAAAATTCGATTAATCAGAAATAATCTATTAATTTAAAATAATTTATTAATTAAGTACCTTAGGGGAATGTCAAATGACCGATAAAAATATATCCATATCTTTAACAATTTACAGTGATTTAGGAAATACAGTTTTTAATATAATAACTGTGAACAAAAACTTTTTTTAATAAAAATGAATACCAATACAATTTTTTCTGAACTATTATCAAAATAGTTCCAAATAAATAGCAGAAAGATTAATGGATTGCCTAACTGTGTAATAAGGTAATGAAACGATCGTTTTAAAATCGATTATCGAGGGCTGGGCCATTATGAAAATAAACATTCGATAATTTTCGATTATTTAAAGAATCGGTTATTTTCGATTAATTAATTAATCGATTATTCGAGAGATCGATTATTCGATTAATTAATTAGTTATTTTCCAGTAATCAATAAAAAATAGATTATTTTTCATTTTTCAGTTGTTTTTCAATATTTAATAAAAAAAAGCTATTATTTTCGAATTAGATTATTGATTATTAGATCAATCGATATATCAAAATTATTTAATTTTTATTTTTAAATTCGCTTGTTTTAATTTACCGATTTATTTATCCAACGATAGTTTAATATCAAAGTAAATAATCGATTATAGATTATTTAAAATAATTGAGTATTTTACGTTACTGATTTCCAAATAATCGATCATTTTCGATTGACTTTTCTGAGAATAGTCGATTAATTATCAATTAGTCGAATATTCTATTATTGATCGAATATTCCAGTAATTTGTTTTACGAAAATCGATAATCGATTAATCGAATACAAACAAATTATTTAATTATCGAAAATAATCGATTATTCCCAATTAATAGATGAAAAATCGATTATTAAAAAAACCGATTTATCGAAAATTATCGATGAAAGGGAAAGGAGTGGGATAGGAGGGGAAACGGGGGATAAAAGGAGGGGAAAGAAGGAAGAAAGGAGGAGGAAAGGAGGGGGAAGGAGGGGGAAAGGAGGGGAAAAGGAAAGGGAAAGGGGAGAAAGGAGGGAGGAAGGAGATGGAACGGAGGGTAAAGCGAGTCGAAAAGGAAATAAAAGAATGGGAAAATGAGGGGAGAAAGGGAGAAAAATAAAAATTAATAAAACTAAATAAAAATAAATAAAAATAAATAAAAATAAATAACAATAAATAACAATAAATAAAAATAAATAAAAATAAATAAAAATAAATAAAAATAAATAAAAATAAATAAAAATAAATAAAAATAAATAAAAATAAATAAAAATAAATAAAAATAAATAAAAATAAATAAAAATAAATAAAAATAAATAAAAATAAATAAAAATAAATAAAAATAAATAAAAATAAATAAAAATAAATAAAAATAAATAAAAATAAATAAAAATAAATAAAAATAAATAAAAATAAATAAAAATAAATAAAAATAAATAAAAATAAATAAAAATAAATAAAAATAAATAAAAATAAATAAAAATAAATAAAAATAAATAAAAATAAATAAAAATAAATAAAAATAAATAAAAATAAATAAAAATAAATAAAAATAAATAAAAATAAATAAAATTAAATAAAATTAAATAAAAATAAATAAAATTAAATAAAAATTAAAAATAAATAAAAATTAAAAATAAAGAAAAATAAAAATAAACAGAAATTATTTAAAATTAATAAAAATTAATACAAATTAATACAATATAATAAAAATTTTTAAAAATATTTAAAATTATTAAATATTATTAAAAATTAATAAAAATTATTACAAATTAATACAAATTAATAAAAATTAATGAAAATTATTAAAAATTAATAAAAATTAATTAAAATTAATAAAAACTAATAAAACTTATTAAAAATAATAAAAATTAATAAAAAATTAATAAAAATTGATAAAATTATTAAAAATTAATAAAAATTATTAAAAATTGATTAAAATTAATAAAAATTATTAAAAATTAATAAAAATTAATAAAAATCAATAAAAATTATTAAAAATTAATAAAAATTAATAAAAACTAATAAAAATTAATAAAAATTAATAAAAATTAATAAAAATTATTAAAAATTAATAAAAATTAATAAAAATTAATAAAAATTAATAAAAATTAATAAAAATTAATAAAAATTAATAAAAATTAATAAAAATTAATAAAAATTAATAAAAATTAATAAAAATTAATAAAAATTAATAAAAATTAATAAAAATTAATAAAAATTAATAAAAATTAATAAAAATTAATAAAAAATAATACAAATTATTAAAAAATTAATAAAAATTGAAAAAATTATTAAAAATTAAAAATTAATAAAAATTAATAAAAATTAATAAAAATTATTAAAAATTAATAAAATTAATAAAAATTAATAAAAATTAATAAAAATTATTAAAAATTAATAAAAATTAATAAAAATTAATAAAAATTAATTAAAATTAATAAAAATTAATTAAAATTAATAATCCTACATTTAATGTAATAATAAAAAGTAATTTATTTGATATAATTTAAAAACTATTTGCCCAACACTTTAATAGCAAAATTTTTGCCAGGTATAGGATGAAAAAATTTCTCTCGAGAAACGAAAACTGTGATCGCGTCAACTAGTTTAATAATCGATAAATTAATAAGAATCGAATATAAGAATAAAAACCAATTAAATAATATCGATATATCTAGTATCGATATTTTGATTATTCGGAAATAAACGATATTAATCAAAAATTAACGCTTCTCTATTGTTTATTTGATATTGACTAATAAGTCGAAAATAGTCAATGTCTCCATTAATCGAAAACAATCGATTAAATGAAATTAATCGATTAAACGAAAATAACGATTAATCTAGAACAATCAATTAAACGGAAATAATCGAATTAAATGAAAATAATAGATTAATTGACAATAATAATCGATTAATTAACAATAATAGTCGATTAATCGACAATAATAATCGATTAATCGACAATAATAATTGATTAATCGACAATAATAATCGATTAATTGACAATAATAATCGATTAATCGACAATAAAAATCGGTTAATCGAAAATTGTAAATAATCACTAATCGATTAACCAAAATTTTTATAAATGGTTTTTGAGAAATGAGAAAACCCCATTCTTATTGTCCCTCTCTGATACCTTTCCTTATTATTCATTAAATTAAAGCACTGTAATGAAAAAAATACAAACCTTCACTAAGAATATTGTGAAAATCAGCCGGTGATAACGCATGCAAATTTGTCGATTTGGCGCTCTCTTTTGCGAAATTCGCTACTTCATATAGAACGTCTCTTCCGTGATATATTTCGAAGGCTCCGCCAACTTTTAACGCGCCCCAAGTCGGGTACCTAACGACGTGCAAGCTCGAACACAATGCAGAGCTTTTTCCGCAATGAACCAAACCTAAAATAAATTAAAATATGCATGAAAGAAATTAAAAATCAAATTAGGAAAAGCTGTAAATGTTAAATTAAACATGTCGCTTATGGAAATACTAAAAAGTATTTTAAATTAAATAATTTCTAAAATAAAATAATGACAATTAAAAAATCTAGTACAGTACAGGTTATGTAGGCCTACTGGGGATACCACAAAAATCGAAACCTTATGCTAGGTTGAATATGGGATATTAATGAACCGCTATCTAAAAGATCTATTGTGTCCCTGTTGCTATGAGGATTTGCTGTTTCAATTCTTAATTAACAAAGACATTACAACTAAGAGACCAAATTGTTTACATTTTTATGTGGCAAATCATTATTCCCACCAGATTCTCGTTTATTGCATCTTTGCCGATTTTATCAGTCTGTCAAAAATATTTGGGAGAAATTACTTTCGAAAAATAAAATTTGATGTGTCCTGTAACTATAATTGTATATTATATAAATAAAAATATGTTTTTAATCAAATTATTCTTTGAATTTTTAACATAAGCTAAATTTTTTATTAAAAAATCAATATTAATCTAAACAAAATATTAGGGTCTCGAAGAACTCCGTAAATACGGCAACGCTGAATATCTTATTTTACGAATTGACAATTTTTATGAACGAAATGTAGTACCGTAACCAGCCGCAACGTTGCCAATCAGGTGTAACAGCTATTTTGTATTTCTGACAGTATCTGACAGTTTGTGTGACTTATTGATTTATTCATTTATAAAATACTATTTTTGTGAACTTTTGTGAGAAATATAAAGAATTACGGTACATGCATGTGTAGTGTTCAAAAAGGTAGATCATTTAAGTCGAAATATATGGTTTCATCCTCCGAGCAATTACAACTAGAGGGAGTCTTCCCTCTTTCCCCGCGCTAAATTTTGTTAGCAACATATACTCCCCCCGAGGGGGAAAATACCTCTTCTGTAATTGGCTTATTAAATCAGCGTTGCCAAGTTTGACAGCGCCAGTTCTGACACATGTCAATTTCTTATTTGTATTTTACGGAAAATATTATTATTTATAACGTTGTAAGGGTTGGAAATGTATATTTTAGATTTATTATCTCTAATAATATGGTAAAAACATGCTTTATGTGTAAAAGGCCTGTTGAAAATGCTTCTTCAAGTAAGTACAGACACAACCTAATTATCAGAGGCGGTGCATTAGGCAATCGCCTTTAATTTGCAATTAAACTTTCTTATTTTCTTATCGAAAAATTAAAATTAAGAGCAAGTAAACTCCAGTTAAGTTCGTCTTCATCCGTCTCATAATGATTATAGTAAAGGTTAATTGCTTATTATTTTAATATCACATCTTTGTAAAGTTTATTGTTTTTTTTTTCCTTTTCTTGATATGAGAAAGAAATACATGGTTCCAAAATATAGGAATTCGACAAGTGACCACCTGAATAACTTTTTATGCTAAATAAACATTTTTATTACATACCTGAGGGGAGGAAAATATTAAAGAAAAATGCAATTTCGAAGAAAGAAGTATAATAATCAATCCTGTCACTACTTCTACACTATATTCATCTGCTACTTAAATACTAAAACAGCAAGTAAGTAGAGAAACTTAAGTTTCTTTCAAAAAGAATGTTTAAGGAAAGGCATAGCCATTTTTTTGTTGACACTATTTTTTAACTAATCTAAAAGACTAATTTTGTGTATTGTTTAAATTTTAATTTTTTTGTACTTAATTTGTTTTAGGTTTAAACAAAATGAACTTCTAAGATATGCATGGAATATCCCAAAAGAGCTAAGGAAGCTTTTAAAATTCTTAAGAAAACTATTCAGAGCCAAAAACAAAATAGTCTTCCTGTCCAAAATATAAATAGGTATAAATATTTAGATATTATGAGTGATTTTTTATTCTATAAATAGAACATAATTTTATTCTACATCACTACCTAATGAAAAATATTATAGTACAAAACTAAACAAGAATATCACATTATTCATGCTTTTTTTTTAATTTCCTTAAAAAACGTCCCAAAAAAATGTGAATATTTATTATTGGAGTTTACATCGTTATGCTAAAACAATACTAGAACAACTTAAATAATGTGGATTTTTACTATTTTGAGTTATGCAGATTTATGATCTAAAAAAATGTTTGTCTGGTGCTATAGTCAGGTATAAAAACATTTATTTATTTAAACACAGTTGCAATATACATTTTATTTAGTTTTTAAGTTAAAACCTATTAGGACATCCTAAAATGACTTTTTTCGTTTGATGTGAGATTAATTATTTTACATTTTTGTTGGTGAAATAGGATATATTAAGATGTCTTACTGTTTTCTCTGATTATCTAAAAAGTTAGAACAATATACAAAGACTGTTATAACAAAAAAGATATACCTTTACTTAAACACACAATTGGTCAGTTCAATTGTACGATAATTTAAAGCCGAAATCCAAAAAACTTTAAAAATGTGTTTAAATGTGTTTTTACTATAACAAGGACATAATTATACTAATTTTAAGAAAGCCTTCGATAAGGTAAATCACAATATCCTTCTAGCTAAACTGAAATTTCTTTATGTCTTATCTAAAACTAAGGTATCAATACGTAATGTTTGGTGGTGAAGTATCTCATACAATCCTCGCAGGCTCTGGGGTCCCTCAGGGCTCCAATTTGGGCCCTCTACTTTTCTTAATATTTGTTAATGACCTTCCTCTACGTATTACATCAGACTGCCTAATGTATGCAGATGATCTGAAAGTTTTTAAGAAAATATCCACCCTAGATGACTATCTAGACCTTCAAAATGACTTAGACTCAATTTCGGATTGGTCATTTGAAAATAAATTACATTTTAATCTTTCCAAATGCAAGGTTATTACATTCAGTAACATTCGTAATCCTCAAAATTTTATCTACACAATGCAAGGATCAACACTAGAAAGAGTGTCAAAAATGACCGACTTGGGAATAGTTTTTTAAAATAATTTCAAATTTGACGAGCATATCCATAACATTACCAAAGAAGCTAACAAATTGTTAGGTTTTTTGAAACGCACGACTAGGGACTTTACAGACACACACTCGATTAAAAATGTATTTTTTGCTCTCGTTCGTAGTAAATTAGAATATGCATCCACTGTATGGGACCCTACACAACAAAATTTAAAACACATTTTGGAAACTATTCAAAATAAATTTGTCAAATATTTATACTTTAAAAAGTATCATACAAGTCCAGGATTTGTTTCATTTGGACCTATTAGAAAAGAGTTTGAAATTGAAAAATTGGAACATAGACGCTCTATAATCAATCTTGTCTTTTTACATAAATTATTAAATGGATATTTGGACAGTCAATATTTATTGAGTCAAATAAAAATTAATGTTCCAATAGCAAGTATTCGTCCACGTCAATTAACTTTTCGTGCGGATAATCATGGTCCAGTAGAAAAAATTTGTCTTTTGTTTAATGTACACTCCGAAGGCATTTCTTGCGGTATTTTTGATGTAGCTATAAGCACATATAGAAAGGAACTTAACAAAATTGTTGGGCTCGATTAAAGAGACATAACCTTGTAGGATTTCCGTGGCCTTGGTGTGGGGTTTTGCAGACGCTCTGATTATTCCTGAATATTTCTGATTATTTCAGTAGTTTTGTTCTTTAATGAACTTTGTTAAAATTTTGTAGTAGCGAGGTTTATTTATTATAATTTCACTTATATATTTAATTAGATATTATGTATTTTTGTTGATTTCTATTTTCGCTGTATTTATAGGAACATGTAATTAGGCTCATGCCTGTTTATTTCTGGAATAAATAAATAAATAAATAAATAATTATTAAAAAAACTTGGCACATTTACATTGATGATAGGTTTTTATAATATATATTATACAAATCACAACGAACTACACAAAATGACATTATTATTAATTTAGCAATGAAAAAGTTAAGTACAATGATGACATTAAAAGTTGAGTTTCTCGAAATACTTTTTTTAAATTGTCTCAGTACCTACCTAGTATTTTTCTAGCACAATGATATATGAATGTGCATTGTGTGATATCTTATATTTTAGGAATAAAATGATATATTTTTTTGCAGGTTTCTGTTGACAACGATTCCAAGAACTTTTGAAAATATTATTAAAACGACCTTTGCAAATATAATTCTCAATTAAGAGGTTTTGATCTAACATTAAATTTTTGTTCTCCATTAGGTTACAGCTTCCTAAGAAGAAAGTTTAACAAGACTTACCAGACTCAAAATATCAAAATTTTACCAATCAATTGGTGGTTCTACTAGTTTCCATAGGAAAATTCTCCTCGAAACTACTAAAAGAAAAGTGGCAGAGGCAACCGATGAAGGCAAAAAAGTCTTTTGCAAAACTAGAAATTTGTTTAAGAATCTAATTATTGTTTGAAGTTTTACCATTAATAATTTTTGATAACGATTTAAGATTATGAAGTTTTATTATGTATTTTACTCTTTGATAACCTATGTTTAAATTTTTATTAGGACCAAAATAAATTATAATTTTCATTTCAACTACAAAAACTGTATTTATTTATAATAAAATTGATTTTAAGGTTTTATTCTTCAATTGAAAAAATTAGACCGTTACAGTGATTTTGTTTCATTTCCTGCATTAGACACATATAAGACGGTATTCTTTTTAAATATAGAAAAATTAGCAAATTTTTTAGTTTTTTTTTTTACAATTAAAACGTTTGGACAATGTGTGTTTTTATAGATAAATGATACGCCACTGAACAAGAAGAATGTTTACCTTCCCCCTTGTGCCCGCTTCCTCACTTCCTCTATAGCAACACAACAATCGCCTACAAACTCGTTTTCACGCTCCCTCTATTAGTAATTGCTCGGAGGGTATAACAGCTATTTTGTATTTCTGACAGTATCTGACAGTTTCTGTGTGACTTATTCATTTATAAAATACTATTTTTGTGAACTTTTGTGAGAAATATAAAGAATTATGGTACATGCATGTGTAGTGTTCAAAAAGGTAGATCATTTAAGTCGAAATGTATGGTTTCATCGGTAAGTATTTTTAGGTTAAGATATATTGTTTTCATTTGAACCAGTGGAGTAGGGCTTGTACAAGATTTGATACAATTTCTTATAGAATTTAAATTATATAGGATCACATAGTAAATTGTTTGAAAAATGATCATCCAATCTAATTTTTCAAACAATTTACTGCAGGTTTGATAATATACAATTTAAATTGTACAAGAAATTATATCAAAAACTTGTGTAGTCTAAAACAGTCTTAAAACAGTTTTTAAAGTGATATTCCTTTTATAAATTAGTAAATTTTTCTTATACCAATAAATAAATGTTAAATAGTGGCAAAGAAAATTTAACGTAAAATGTAGAATACCTTAAAAATGATTTACCTATTGAGCATCTATACATATTTTTTATTACTCTATTTAGGTTTCCGCAAGATCCTGAGGAAAGAAAACTTTGGTTTTCTCTAATAGGAATCCTTGAAAATCAGCCCCTTCGTAAAAACCCAGAGTTGTGTTTAGAACACTGTTTTCCTGAAAATGTTTTGGTACGTGCAAATGGTACTAGATATATTAGAAAAGATGCAAACTCCAGACAATGTGAGGGCTTTCTATTTTTGGATGACTTATCCAACAGGTAAAAATACAAAATATTAATTTTTTGTTTACCTCTAAACATTATTTATTACCTATATGTATGTATATCTAATGTATGGGTTTTTAGTTCTGATTCAACTGTTTTTGGAACACCACCTGCTGCAAAAAGAAACGTTGCAGTAAGTTATAACATTAATAACTAAGCATAAAAAAATTAAATGAAATTTTATTTAATAAAATTAAAGTATTTTATATATTTAAAACATTATTTTAAAAATTTTTACAGTTTTTTTACGATATTTTTTGCCATACCATGTTTTTTTTTTGTAATTAATAATTAAAAAATTATATATTTTTAGGACAGTGTTTTATTTAGATACCCCTACCTACTTAATGTTAATTTAAAATTTTAAATAATTTTGGTTAACATCATACCAGGCAAATATATAGTAAATACCAATAAACTATAAACCAATAAATATTAAAAATCGAAAGGTAACTTGAATTTGTATTTGAATTTACTTGTACTTGAATTTACCTACATGATAAATCAGCAAGTATCATGCAAAACTATTGTCATATACTCTGAAGGCAATTCTCTCACCAGAAATCAAATCACGACTGGTGAAAGACTGTCTAGAAGACCTGACAGAGCTAAGTAGTTAAAATAAGGTGACCTTAGCCTGGGTTCCAGGCCATGAGGGATATCAGGGCAACGAAAAGGCCGACGAATTAGGCCGAGGAGGCTCAGATAAGGCCATGACAGGCCCCGGACCCTTCTGTGGAGTTGCTAAGGCATTGTGCAAGGCATCCAATAAACAATGGATGCAAACAGAGTCTCAGGAATGGTGGAACAACTATCCAAGACTGAGACAGGCCAAACAGTTTATCAAGGAACCATCGACCAAGTTCACGAAAGACCTACTGGATCAAAAGCGTCAAATCGTTAGGATAACAGTAGGCCTTCTTACTGGACACTGTCGCCTCAAAAGGCACATGAGTGTCATAAATCCAGCAGAAGAAGCAACTTTGTGCAGGTTCTGTGAAGAAGAAGAGGAAACAATATTCCACGTCCTGTGCCAATGTGAATGCCTGGCTGGAACGAGGTTTCTACCATTAGGCGAAGAAAAGCCAATTGCATGCAACTACATGTGGGAGCCACTGTCAAAGCTACTGAGACTAATAAAAAAGACCAGGCTAGACGACATACTCTAAAACAAACAGGAGTCCCACAATAGATCTGAAAAGGTCGCGGTGGACAAGGACAAATAACGTCCAACTCATAATCTAATCTAATCTACCTACATGAAAAAATCATCATAATTATATTACTAAAAAAATATACCTACATATTTACGTATTTTTACTTTCCTATCTGTATACAGATATAAGGAAAGTATAGGAATCATGATTTTTTTCGACCTCGAGTTTTCGACGGATTTTTACGTTTTGAGGTCCCCTGAATCCGTTTTGACTATTTTCGCGATGATGTCTGTGTGTGTGTGTGTGTGTGTCTGTGTGTGTGTGTGTGTGTGTGTGTGTGTGTGTGTGTGTGTGTGTGTGTGTGTGTGTGTCTGTATAACGCATAACTCATGAACCGATACACAGAAAAACACCAAATTTTAAACTTAAGCTTTGTTTCAGCGTCTAATGAGCTGATTAGATTTTGGGCAGAGTCGGAACATTTGGGGGGGTACTTTATAGGTGGTCATTTTTATATTTTATGAAATATATCTGTTATTTACGTTTGGAGAAGAAAATTCTTTAAATAAAAGTTACTTCTAATATTATTATCTATAATTTTTGTTCTATACAAAATTTTCCTAAAATGGTCCGTATTCGAGAAATTTGACAAAATGTAAAAAAAAATATTTTTTTATAAAAATTGTTCGAATAAAAGTTGTTTGTAATATAATTCTCTATAATTTTTATTCTCTACATAATTTCTCTAAAATGGACCGTATTCGAGATATTTGAGAAAATGTGTAAATTTCGAATTTTGAAAAAAAACTCAAAAACGGATAAAGAAAAAAACATTAAATTTTACACTTAAGGTTTATTTCGGCCTGACGTGAAATGATTAGATTTTGGATAAAGTCGGAACATCTGGGGGGGTACTTTATGGGAGGCCGTTTTTATATTTTATGGAATATATCTGTTATTTATGTTTGGAGAGGAAAATTGTTCAAATAAAAGTTACTTCTAATATTATTATCTGTAATTTCTGTTTCATGTAAAAATTTCCTGAAATGGTCCGTATTCGAGAAATTTGACAAAATGTGCAAAATTCTGATTTTTATTATGAAAGTTTTTGAAATAAAAGTTGTTTGCGATATCGATCTCTATAATTTTTGTTTATACATGATTTTTCTAAAATGGACCGTAATGAAAAAATTGTAGGAAATTAAAATTTTTCATTATTTTCATTTTCCATGAATATCTATAGAAAAATGTTTCGAGGTAGATGTATGTGGACAATGTATATATTTAGTTTAGCCTCTAAACATTTATATAACTAGATAGGAAAGTCATGTGTTGGACACATCAGATTTTTTTAACATACTATAATAATACTGGTAAGTTTAAAACTCTACGCCACTGGCGAACATATTATGGATACTGTTTACAACATTGCCAGCCGGTCATAAGAGATATGTCTTTCTCTCTTCCACTCACTAACAATTTTAAAACAATTACAGTTCGCAATTGTATGGGATTTATGAATGAAACATTTTGTCTATATGTTGTAATGTCTTTGTTAATTAATAAGATCGGTTTCTTTGCTGACTTTTTTATTTTCGTAGATAAGATAAACAAGTAATACAGGATGATAAAAATTAACAAAAAGTATATAACAAATATTAACTGTAACTATTTAAGAGTTAGTGAGTACGCCACAGTCCCCTTCTAGAGACTTAAAACGATTCAAAAGTATTCACGACCCATTTTAACCACTATTAGAAATATCATGTGTCCCTCACTTCCCGCCCTCATTTCATCTATGAATATTTTTTATATTTAAAAAAAATAACACATTTTGACAAATTTTATAATACCTATTTAATGGCAAATAATAAAAAACAATGAACTAAAATACAACAAACTACTTATTGATATTTATTATTCGCGAATTTAATATCCGGCTTTATCTGACATTTATTTATATTGGTGACAGTTGTTTACCCCGTAATCACAGTAACAATATATCTACTTGATTATTCTGAGAAAACCGCGCGCTTGGTAATTTGTCGTTAAATGTAATATTTTAAGTACGTTCAGAACAAAATAGAGATTTATTAATTTTGATCGAAATATGATGGTTGTAAATAAAATAGTATACAAACCTCGGTAGGAAGTTTCATTCCTGTCTCGAGATCATAGCTAACCTCGACGCTTCGCGTCTCGGTGATCTAACTAATCTCACGACAGGAATGAAACTCTTCCCACCTCGGTGTATAATATACTATTTCGCCACTTGCCAGGGCCTGGAAAACATTTTTTTTACATATCGTTTTTAAATACACTAAAGTGACTTATATCAAATATTTCTGTAATACCTCCAAAATTTTGATTGGACTATTAGTTAAAATCAATTTTTTGAAAGTCAAAATTCAGAAAAATTGTTTTTTGGTAAATTCATCGACCTATATATTTTTGAGAACGGACTACAGACATTAAAAAAACATTTTTGCAAATTTTTATTCTCACTTTTCCCTCCGATCAATAAGAATCAAGAAAAATAAATCAAAACATGTTTTTTTATTTTCAAGTTTGCAGTAATTCGGTATTTTACATTTTTTAGACCTCCAGAACAACAAACCAAAAATTCATCTTGTCCACAATTTTTTCGATCTTAAAAGACAATTTGATTGTACTAAAATTTATTAACTTACCGATATTGATGTCAGGAATTAATGGCGGTAATCGCTTCAACAGCAAATTTAATTCCGTAGCAGCGCCTAAGTAAAAACAAAGTAACCACGGTTTTCCTGACTCTGTTCTCAATTCTGATCTAATTTCCTATAAATAAAAAAACCTATATAATTTATGAATAAAAAAATAAAATCAACTCAAAATACAAAATAAATAATTATTATTTTCGATTAATTTAGATTAATTTGGATTACTTTATATTAATTTAGATTTATTTAAATTGATTTAGGTTGATTTATATTAATTTGGAATTATTTAGATTAATTTCAGTTACTTTCGATTGATCTATTATTTTCGATTAATTGAAAATAATTATTCGATAATTTTTTATATTTTTCGATGATTCGATTATTCAACTAATAAATTACTCGAATAATGAAAATAATCGATTATTTTCAGATAGGTAATCGATTATATTTTCAGATAATCGATTAATTCCGGATATTTGATTATTTTCGATTATACGAATATTTGATTATTCATTTAATCAACTACTTTCAATTATTCGATCATTCAATTATTCGATTATTCGATCATTCAATTATTCGATTATCCGATCATTCAATTATTCGATCATTCAATTATTCGAATATTCAATTAATAGGTTAATTGATTAGTTCCAAATAATCAAATCATCGATTATTTTCGATTATTTAATTAATAGATTTGCCTTTTGTTTTTGATTAATCGATTGTTTTCGATTAATTGATTGTTTTCGATTAATTGATTGTTTTCAATTAATCGATTGTTTTCGATTAATTGATTGTTTTCAATTAATAGATTGTTTTCGATTAATCGATTCTTTTAGATTATTAGATTAATAGGGATATCTATTATTTTCAATTTATCGTTAAATTGGTTATTTCCAAATAATAAGAATATCGATTATTCAATGATTCGATTAATCGATTATTCAATTAATTATTTTCAAATAATCCGATTATCGATTATTGAAATATTTGATTATTTTGTATTATTTGGTTATTAAATTAATCGTTTATTTTTGCTTAATCGATTATTTTAGCTTAATCGATTATTTTAGCCTAATCGAACATTTTGCATAATCGATTATTTTCAATGGTTCGATTAATTGAGTGTTCGATTATTTTTCATTAATGAGTTATTTTCAAATAATCAATGGAAAATGAATTATTTTCGATTGATTATTTTCGAATAAAATTGGATTATCGATTCTTTTAGATTCTTAGATTAATAGAGATATCTATTATTTTCAATTTATCGTTAAATTGGTTATTTCCAAATAATAAGAATATCGATTATTCAATGTTTCAATTAATCGATTATTCAATTAATTATTTTCAAATAATCCGATTATCGATTATTGAAATATTTGATTATTTTGTATTATTTGGTTATTAAATTAATCGTTTATTTTTGCTTAATCGATTATTTTAGCTTAATCAATTATTTTAGCCTAATCGAACATTTTGCATAATCGATTATTTTCAATGGTTCGATTAATTGAGTGTTCGATTATTTTTCATTAATGAGTTATTTTCAAATAATCAATGGAAAATGAATTATTTTCGATTGATTATTTTCGAATAAAATTGGATTATCGATTCTTTTAGATTCTTAGATTAATAGAGATATCTATTATTTTCAATTTATCGTTAAATTGGTTATTTCCAAATAATAAGAATATCGATTATTCAATGTTTCAATTAATCGATTATTCAATTAATTATTTTCAAATAATCCGATTATCGATTATTGAAATATTTGATTATTTTGTATTATTTGGTTATTAAATTAATCGTTTATTTTTGCTTAATCGATTATTTTAGCTTAATCAATTATTTTAGCCTAATCGAACATTTTGCATAATCGATTATTTTCAATGGTTCGATTAATTGAGTGTTCGATTATTTTTCATTAATGAGTTATTTTCAAATAATCAATGGAAAATGAATTATTTTCGATTGATTATTTTCGAATAAAATTGGATTATCGATTCTTTTAGATTCTTAGATTAATAGAGATATCTATTATTTTCAATTTATCGTTAAATTGGTTATTTCCAAATAATAAGAATATCGATTATTCAATGTTTCAATTAATCGATTATTCAATTAATTATTTTCAAATAATCCGATTATCGATTATTGAAATATTTGATTATTTTGTATTATTTGGTTATTAAATTAATCGTTTATTTTTGCTTAATCGATTATTTTAGCTTAATCAATTATTTTAGCCTAATCGAACATTTTGCATAATCGATTATTTTCAATGGTTCGATTAATTGAGTGTTCGATTATTTTTCATTAATGAGTTATTTTCAAATAATCAATGGAAAATGAATTATTTTCGATTATTGATTATTTTCGAATAAAATTGGATTATCGACTATTAGGTTATTCGATATTATTTAATTGATTTTTAATCTTATATTCTGTTTACAATTGTTCGATTATGTTCGATGAATCGATTATTTTAGCTAATCGATTTTTCGATTAGTCAATTATTTTCGATTAATCGAGATAACGATTATTTTTCAATAGTTAGTTATTTTCAAGTAATCAATAGAAAACAATTGCTTTTAATTAATCGATTGTTATTGATTAATCGATTGTTTTCGATTAATGGATTGTGTTAGATTAATCGATTGTATTTGATTAATCGATTGTTTTCAATTAATCGATTGTTCTCGATTATTAGGTTAACAGAGAGATCGATTATTTTTTTATCGTTAAATTGATTATTTCCAAATATTAAGAATATCGATTATTCAATTCGTCGATTAATCGATTATTTTACATTAATTATTTTTTTTATTAATTGATTAATCTAGAGTTCTATTATTTTTAATTAATTAGATATTTTCAAATAATCAATAGAAAATCGATTATTATTGATTAATCGTTAAATTGATTATTTACAAATAATAAGAATATTGATTATTCAACTAATCGATTAATCGACTATTTTAGCTTAATCAATTTTTTTAGATTATTTGATTAATCGAGTTATATTATTTTTAATTAGTTATTTTCAAATAATCAATAGAAAATCGATTATTTTTGATTAATCGTTAAATTGTTTTTTTAAAAATAATAAGAATATTGATTATTCAATTAATCGATTATTTTTGGTTAATCAATTTTTTCGATTATTTGATTAATCGAGAGATCTATTATTTTTAATTAATCAATTTTCAAATAATAGAAAATCGATTATCTTCGATTAATCGTTAAATTGATTATTTACAAATAATCAGATTATCCATGATTTAATTATTAGAATATTTCCGAATAATCGGATTATCGATGATTTAATTAGTAGGTTAATTGAATCTTTCCGATTAATCTATTGTTTTCGATTAATCGATTGTGTTTGATTAATAAATTGTTTCTCGATTAACGACTATTTTCGATTAATCGATTGTTTATCGATTAACGATTGTTTTCGGTTAATATTGTTTTCGATTATTAGATTAATAGATCGATTATTTTAGATTAATCGATAAATTTACTATTTTCTTATAATAGGATTATCGATTATTCAATTACCTACTCGATTAATCGATTAAATGATTAAACGTTTATTTTTCATTAATCGGTTGTTTTTAAATAATAATCAACAGAAATCGATTATTTTCGATTATTCGTTAAATTCATTATTTGTAAATAATCAGATTATCCATGATTTAATTATTAGATTATTTCTTAATAATCGGATTATCGATTATTTTCGATTATTTAATTAATAGGTTAATCGAATCGTACCGATTAATCAATTGTTTTTGATTAATTATTTTTTTCTTGATTAACGATTGTTTTCGGTTAATATTGTTTTCGATTATTAGATTAATAGATCGATTATTTTAGATTAATCGTTTATTTTATTATTTTCGTATAATAGGACTATCGATTATTCAATTATTCGATTAAATGATTAAAAGATTATTTTTCATTAATCGGTTGTTTTTAAATAATCAATAGAAAATCGATTATTTTTTATTAATCGTTAAATTGATTATTTCCAAATAATCAGATTATCGATTATTAGATTATTTTCTATTATTCAATTTTTTAATTAATCGATAATTTTAGCTTAATCGATTGGTTATTATTCAATAATTTAAGAGATAGGTAATCGATTATTTTCAGATAAGTAATCGATTATTTTCAAATAGATAAATGATTATTTTGGGATAATCGATAATTTTCGATTAATCGATTATTCAATTGATAGGTTAATTAATTATGTTCGCTTAATCGAATGTTTTCAATTATTCGAGAGATCGATTATATTTATTAATCAATTAGTTTCAAATATTCAATAGAAAATCGATGATTTTCGATTAATCGTTAAAATGATTTTTTAATCTAATATTCGATTGTTATTAATTTATCGATTATTAGTAAATGTAAATAGTAATCAAACGATCAAAATAAATAATCGATTATCGATTATTTTCGGATAATCGACTATTTTGTATTAATTGAAAGTAATCGATTACTGGATTATTGTTCGAATAATCAATTAATTTTTATAAAAAAAACAATAATCGAATAATTAATCGATTATTTTTCCCACCCCTTTCTATATTTCATCTATAAAAAAATTTACCTTGAATTTTTCTTCGTTAACTATTTCTGGATTTGGCAAATTAACTAAAACATTTTCTAAAATATCTTTCGTATCAGATCCATGTATTACATGCAGCAAAAGAGGACTAGTTGACACCGACTCAGTCCTTAACAGCAATATAACCGAATTTTCTTGATAGTTTTCCACCAACTTTTCGCAAAGAGATTCTTCTATCACTTTTCCAACGGACACCAATCCTACCTAAAAAAACAAACACATTTAATTCGTTTAATTCGATTACGCTTTAAAGAAAATATACCAGAGACGCGCTAAGTTTTAACATGTTTTTCTCTGAAGGGCAATTAGGATTATCATCGTTACATAAAAATAGTAACCATCTGTCATTTTCGGATTGAAGATTTTCCCAATTTGCTGATGATACAATCAAAATATTACCATCGACTTTTGAAAGTACGAAATCTTCCAATGCTTCCACGGTTCTATCGCCTGTGTATTTTATTCCTTCGTAAAGATGGAACTGAAAATTGAACTCATTTTTATACAAGAATTACACATACAAATATTAAAAACAATACACAGATTTGTAATGTTTAATCCAGAATTTTGGAGAAAATATAGAATTTTTTTATATAAATTACTTTGAAGTATTTGACATCCGAAAAAATTTGTTTTTCAGGGCCTGAGGAGTGAAAAAAAATTGTTTTTTTGAGGTTATTTAAAATCGGTAGGTGCTATAAAAAAGTTCGTAATTAAAATTATAATGCATGAAATTTTACAAAAAAAAATATATAATTTTAATTTTTAAGATTATACGACTATATGGTAAAACAAATTTTAAATTGAAAAACTTATTGTAACCTGCCTGACAAAAAAAATAGGGAGTGACTGATAAAAACGATACCGCAGCAGCTTTTAAGTACCATTAAATAAATAAAAACAAATAAAAACAAATAAAAACAAATAAAACAAAAAATAAATAAAAACAAATAAAAACATATAAAAACATATAAAAACATATAAAAACAAATAAAAACAAATAAAAACAAATAAAAACAAATAAAAACAAATAAAAACAAATAAAAACAAATAAAAACAAATAAAAACAAATAAAAACAAATAAAAACAAATAAAAACAAATAGAAACAAATAAAAACAAATAAAAACAAATAAAAACAAATAAAAACAAATAAAAACAAATAAAAACAAATAAAAACAAATAGAAACAAATAAAAACAAATAAAAACAAATAAAAACAAATAAAAACAAATAAAAACAAATAAAAACAAATAAAAACAAATAAAAACAAATAAAAACAAATAAAAACAAATAAAAACAAATAAAAACAAATAAAAACAAATAAAAACAAATAAAAGCAAATAAATACAAATAAATATTTTCAAATAATCAACAGAAAATCAATTATTTTCGATTAATCCGTCAATCGAACATAATCGATTATTTTTAAATATTCAATATAAAATCTATTATTTTCAATTAGTCGTTAAATTGATAATTTCCGAAGTATCAGATTATCGATTATTAATCAATATTATTTAATCGACTTTTAATATTATATTCGATTGTTATTAATTTATCGATTATTAGTAAATCTCTAATTCAATTACATATCTTTTTAAAATCGAATTATCGACAAGGCTGGGCGATTATGAAAATAAACAATCAATTTCTTTCGATTAATTGAAAATAATTGATTATTTTCGATTATTCAATGAATCGGTTATTTTCGATTATTTATTTGATCATTTTCGATTAATCTATTACTAGATTATTCAATTATTTTCGATTAATCGAGAGATCAATTATTCGATTAATCCGCAGATCTATTATTCGATTATTCGAAAAATTGATTATTTTGTATTAGTTATTTTCCAATAATGAATAAAAATAGATAATTTTACATTAATCAGTTATTTTCAAATATTAATTAAAAAATCTATTATTTTCGAATCAGATTATCGATTATTAGATTAATCGATATATCGAAAATATTTAAGTGATTTTTATTCTTAAATTGGCTTGTTGTAATTTACCGAATTATTTATCAAACGATAGTTTAATATCGAAATAAATAATCGATTATAGATTTTTTAAATAATCGAGTATTTTAAATTACTGATTTTCAAATAATCGATTATTTTCAAATAATCGATTATTTTCAATTATCGACTTTTCTGAGAAAAATCGAATAGTCGATTACTTATCAATTAGTCGAATAATCTATTATTGATCGAATATTCAATTAATTTGTTTTATTTTAATTAATTTTTATTTATTTTTATTTATTTTTAATTAATTTTTATTTATTTTTATTTATTTTTTATTTTTTTTTATTTATTTTTATTTATTTTTATTTATTTTTATTTAATTTTATTTATTTTTATTTATTTTTATTTATTTTTATTTATTTTTATTTATTTTTATTTATTTTTATTTATTTTTATTTATTTTTATTTATTTTTATTTATTTTTATTTATTTTTATTTATTTTTATTTATTTTTATTTATTTTTATTTATTTTTATTTATTTTTATTTATTTTTATTTATTTTTATTTATTTTTATTTATTTTTATTTATTTTTATTTATTTTTATTTATTTTTATTTATTTTTATTTATTTTTATTTATTTTTATTTATTTTTATTTATTTTTATTTATTTTTATTTATTTTTATTTATTTTTATTTATTTTTATTTATTTTTATTTATTTTTATTTATTTTTATTTATTTTTATTTATTTTTATTTATTTTTATTTATTTTTATTTATTTTCATTTATTTTCATTTATTTTTATTTATTTTCATTTATTTTCATTTATTTTCATTTATTTTCATTTATTTTCATTTATTTTCATTTATTTTCATTTATTTTCATTTATTTTCATTTATTTTCATTTATTTTCATTTATTTTCATTTATTTTCATTTATTTTCATTTATTTTCATTTATTTTCATTTATTTTCATTTATTTTCATTTATTTTCATTTATTTTCATTTATTTTCATTTATTTTCATTTATTTTCATTTATTTTCATTTATTTTCATTTATTTTCATTTATTTTCATTTATTTTCATTTATTTTCATTTATTTTCATTTATTTTCATTTATTTTCATTTATTTTCATTTATTTTCATTTATTTTCATTTATTTTCATTTATTTTCATTTATTTTCATTTATTTTCATTTATTTTCATTTATTTTCATTTAATTTCATTTATTTTCATTTATTTTCATTTATTTTCATTTATTTTCATTTATTTTCCTTTATTTATTTTTATTTGTTTTTATTCGCAAGGCAAGACACAATAAGTTTGACTTCAAAATTTATTTCTTTTACAATGTCCTATATATTTAAATTTAAAAAGTTAATATTTTCCCTTAACTTCTAACCCCCTAACTCTGTTAATTTTAATAGCAAATAATTCAAAATATCCTTTTTATGTAAAATTTCATGCTCTACAATTTTTATTAAAAACTTTTTTATAGCATCAATAACGTCATATTTATATCGTTTTCAAATACTCGAAAAACTTATATCAAAAATTTCTATATTTCCAACATAATTTTGATTTAAAGGTCTATTTAATTGGACTAATTTGAAAACAAACCTCTTTTTCGTAATACAATAGAGTAGGATATGCTTCTATTCTCAACTGATGACACAGATGAAAATCGTCTTCGCAATTGACAGCACCAATGCGAATTACTCCTTCCAGTTCGCGAGCTAGTTTTCGCCAAATCGGAGCCAATTCATGGCAGTGATGACAATTTGGCGAGTAGAAATTAACGAACCACGCTTGGTTGGTGTCCAGAATATTTACTTCTAAAAATTAAATGCGTTAGATCAAATGGAAGGTGCTGCTTTGATCGTGTTGGAATAACGATTTGATTTTAGTTTACGAAAAGTTATATCCTTTTGATGTTACAAGCCAATAACTCGGAAACTGTCTAAGTAGGTGACATATGAAAAACTTTTTAATTATTAATATTAGCAAAAGTTATTTTTTATAAAAAGTCAAGTATAGTCTAAAACCCAAAAATAAAGGTTACTCTTCAGCAAAATCATATTTTTTGACAAACCTAGTATATGGCTTAAAAAAAATTGATATCTGATGGTTGCCCTTTAAGTTTTGGACCATGCAGAACTTTTTATCAAGAATAAATTTTTTCACAAAAACAAATATTCGCTCTGGAAGATAAATTTACATAAAATAAAGACCTTTTTTTATTTAACTCACCATAATCATTTTTACTAAGAGTAACAATAATGGGGTCATCATCGTAAATTCCAAACTGATCTCTGTAATAACTATAACTATGGTATTGTTTTCTAAAATTCTGCGAATCCATTTGTTCTCCATGAATGTCATACACTTTTCTGCTTTCAGGATCTTTAAGCACTTCATAAGCTCTAGTTAATTTTATAAAATTATCATCAGCATTTTTGTCATCCTTAAAATAATACATATATAAAAAAAATAGCAGTTTCAAAATGGTTTTAAAAAAACTTACTTTATTTTTATCAGGATGTAATTTTACTGCTATATTTTTGAATGCTTTTCTAATTTCTTTTACTGTAGCATCTCTATTAACTCCAAGCAATTGATAATAATCGGTTTCTTGAGTATTTATTGGATCGAAAGATGATAGCAATAATAAAAATATTAAAAATGATCTAAAATACAAAACAAAAATAATATTTAGGTACCATTAACGGTAATAGTTGTTAAAAAATAACAAAAATAATACCTAGTTTGGATTGATTTTATTGTAGATATATAAAGTATCTTGCAGAGTAACCAAAAACAAAGTTTCCTGCATTAGAACTTACTATGTGCTGTATAATAAACAAGAAAAGAAGTAAGAACAAGTAAGAATTTTTGAATACAACCAATTTGTATTTTTATATACAATATTCAATAATACACAGTTTCAAATAAGTAACTCAAAATAACTTTTGTAAGAACAATCAGTTTCTTTTTTTTAAGTTACGCAATTTTTTAAAGAAAAAATCAACAACTTTTCCGCGTTAGTTAACTGAAATATTTATTTCTTTATATTTATATGATATTAGTTCTTTAATTTAAAATAGCTACGTGTACAATGTAAAAATAATATCCATTCTTACCCGATATTGACGGCGTACATTCTATTTAATATTTATACAGCCAAAGAAAATGCCCTAAACTTATTAAAATATATTAAAATACATTTAAAAAGCTTCCTTTCCTTTTTAATTTAAAATTAATAAAATTTAAATTTATAATATATAACCTCAAATATCAAATTCTTCTTCTGTTATTATCATTTTGATCGCCTTGTGGCCTTGTTCGCATAATCACAGAACACCAATATTTGTTTATTTCGGGAAGGAAACTAGAAGAATATGGCGACAAGTGTTTCCGGTTTCCAGTGACGTACTGTCATAAGAGGGTGTAGAAAAGAGAATATTCGATTTCTTATTTACACATTATGCAAATTTGCGTATTTCTCTTATTTTAACGAATAGCTATTTTCTTGTGAAGACGAGTAGTTTGTATTTTTATTTAAATTAGTCATCAATAGGTGAATAAATTTTATTTTAAAACTGCGTATTAGGTGATAATAAAAAATTAGACGAAAATGACGATATTTACTTTCATTTACACTCTACTTTTTCTAGCCTATCTACACAGACAGTAAGATTCGTCTTCCCTCGATCCTTACAAATAATATTAATAGAAGCACTTTATTGGTTATGAATATTACAACCAAATGGCCATCGACCTAGGTCCTTCAGCCAGTACAATTTGTAAGGTATTGTGACGATAGTTTATTTTTTTAAAAACACTATTTACAATTTATTTCAGACGTACTATTTAATTTATATAATACTTAGACACTAACTAACAATTCTAATTTATTTTTTACACTTTAACTTTTCATTACAATGTTCTATATTCCACTGTCTATAATCAACTAAACTCGGCGCTGATTCGTCGGCTATTTATATTAGTCCAATTCCGCTACTGGAAGACGCTAGAGGCTCTCGAACATTCCAATTCTATGACTAAACGGCACTCCCCACCGTTTCAGCTGTTTTTAGTGCATCAGCGGCAGGCATTCCGTCGTTTCTTTTATATTCGAGACGAGGTACGATTGTTTTCACACGTCAGCGTTGCTTCGATCACGAGTCGGTTGCCATGTGAAGGTTGCGCGCGTACACAGCCTAAGCTCTAAGAATTTCACGACAGTATGTATAAGGATTTACAAGCTATATGTGTAAGATGAATACGAATATTAAGATTCTTATAAAAAAAAACAACAATATGTGTCACTAATTATTATTCATCGGCAAAGTCGTTTAAGAATTCTGTTATTGATCTTACTGGGTGTTTAAAATTTGCTTGACCAATTTGTCGTTGCATCGAAAAAATGTTTATTAGCATGTGATTGTTTCGTTTCTTCGAGAAATGTTTTGACAGTTTTCCAATTCTGTCCAGGATAGGATATTTAATTTTTTTAAACTCACATCTACAAAACATATTTATTTTTAAACCTTAATAATTTGTAAAATGTAGATTAATAAAGACATTGTCGTAATAAAGACGTAAAAAAGTCAATATTTTTTTTAATACAATAAAATCCCTTTATAAATTATCTCAAAAATATTTTCCTATATTTATCCCAGCCAACATGCAATTTATTCACCTAATGAAGGTTAATAAAAAAAATGCAAACTTCTCGCAAGAGCAATTCGTTAAAATGAGAGAAATTCGATAAATTTAGATAATATGCAAATGAGAATTTATTATTTTCTTTTCCATGCCCCTTTATGACAGTACGTCACTGGTAGATCGGAAACACTTAGGCATTCCAAACTGAATGGCTACCAGTGGGTTTTGACGGGTTATGATATGGCAAAATTATGGCAACCTTGTAGGCCTGGTGATTTGACAAGGTCAATGAAATAGATAGTTACATAGATTGATCATCATTTATTTTTTCAAAATAAACATAAGCTTATGCCTTGAAGTAAAAATGTAAGCAATTATTTTTTTTAATATCTAAAGGCTAATAATTGGTTTTAAAACACATTTTTGCTAAACCGATTCAAATTAATACATATTTAGCAGGCAATATGGCCGCTCGTAAACGACCAGCTTTGAGCAATCTATATAACTATATATGTATCATTGACCCTGTTAATGACAACTTGACAACAGGGTTGCCATATCTAAACTGTCATTACCCACTGGTAGCCATTTGGACAGGTCGTTGGAATGCCTACTTGTCGCCCTATTCGTCTAGTTCACTGTCAAAATTAGATACCATCGCGATTCCAAGGTCGTTTAGGATTCCTCCTTCATAAATAATATGTATTCTAAGGTAAAAGGGGTAAAATTATATGCACACTCCATAGGCGAGTTCGGTCAGTCAGGGGCTGGAGCGGGACAAATTTTAGGGTGCTTTTAAATGACATTTAAGCGTGTTAAACTGTCACTAATCGGACTAAACCGAACGCTAAAAGAGTCGTTCGGAGTTAAAAGTGTTAAAGGAGTTAAAGGAACGTGGCAAACCGAACGCAATGCATTTATGCCTAATTACTCCACGTCACTCTAGAGTACGCAGCTGAACTAACCTATAGACGATATATTCAAAGGAGCAATCTATATAATAAATAACATATCATTGTCCGAGTTCCCGTCATATTGACATATATAGATTAATAGACTGCTCATCCATATAAAAACAAGACGACGAAAAGCGGGTCATATTGCTTGGCTTGCCGAGTGCTCACCAGGCAGAATCGATCTGGCCCAAATGAGTTTAAAACTCATATTTCATCAAAGTAGGAATTGAATTAAAAAAAAAAAAATTATCTGTATGTTTATTTCAAGACAGGAGCTTGCGTTAGATATTTTAAAAAAGGATTTTGAGTCATAACGTCTAGTTTCCCAATTTTCAAAACATTTTAAGAGATCTAACCAATTTTGAAGATAGATATAAACAATTTTACACTAATGTGTATATAACTAACTTTAGACCACGACCACTGTATAGTGGCACTATTCGGACACTTGATTATTCTTTTAAAATTTATTTCGCATTATAAAAGCAGATATTATGCAAAAATTGAATGAACTTTTTAAAGATTTTACTAAAAGTTAGTAGCTTTTTCACATTCTAAAGTTTGTTCCCTTTAGACAATTAAGGATTATTTTGGCGGTGAATGTGAATGATTTGATGAATAATAATAAGATTCCACCAGTGGAAATCCGATCAACATCATAGTAAAATGAACTAGGTACAAAGTGCAATCTTAGTTGACGTCAAGATCCGTTTAGCATCGGTAGGGGGGAAAGAAAAATTCTGACTTACAATCACAAAAAGAACGTACAACTAAGCTTAGTCGATGTAAGTTAGCTCAAATTAGTGGTAAAAAGAAAGCGACTATTAATAAAAAGAAAAGTAATCCAGCTAAAACAAGAATTATGGCTACTGTCTTTAATAATGATATGTTGCCAGTACTAGTAGAATGTTAAGTGTTGAGTTATCTTCTTCAGGCAATGGATGTACGTATGCATAATTTAAAATGTTTGGTTAATTATTATTATGTTTAATGTGTTTTTGCAGTTAATGAACATATATCATCTACTACTGAAGCAGATAATGAAGATTTGTGTGCTGCTGAAGAGCTTTGCTTAATTTACAGAACTTCGTTTAGAAGCAGAAAATTGGGATCGATTGTTCGACACAAGTGAAGAGTGGTGATTTAGTTGATCCGTTTTCAAACAGAATTGTCAGTGCTAAAGAACTATCTACTTTAATAGGATTGCAATCCTTCCAGTTATTAGCCACCATTGTGGAATTCGTTGTTTCTAAAGAATAGGAAAAAGGAGATCAGTTATGTCTGTAAAGGATCAAGTTATATTTACTTTTATGAAGTTGAAACTGATATCCAAGATATAATGTCTTATCCATTTTATTTGGAGTGAATGAAACTTTTTATCATTAAATTTTTTAACATTTTTTAATAAAACTGGTAGAAGTTCTTAGTATGGTATAATTCGGCCTTCAAAACAAGAAATATTAAATAGTGTGCCTCTATGTAAGTAAGAGACTACTTGATTGTACCGAAATCCCAATACAGCAAGCCAAATGTCTTTGTTGTAGGCTAAAAAATTACTCTGACTACAAAAAGAGGCATATACTATTAAAATATTGACTGGAGTGTCACCTACTGGTCTCATTACTTACAAAAGTGAAGCATGTGGTAGAACTTCAGAAATAGACATTTTTTAACAAAGTTCAATACTTGAAGTGTGTGAATCATTTCTCGATAGTAAAATGTTTAACAAAGGTTTTCTTATTGGAAACATATAACAGAAGCTGAAGATATACAAATTATACAGACTCCTTTCCGCAATAAAAAAAATCAGTTCAGCCATCAAGAGGCTTTACTTAATGCCAAAATTGCCAGAGCTAGAATTCACATAGAAAGAACCTATCAAAGAATAAAAGTGTTTGTCTCTCTGTATTGGTACTTATATGTCCGTTTTTCTTCTATTTATATTGTTTTTATTATACGATACTTCTCTGTATCTAACTAAATTTTAAAATGTACTTGTAAAGCCCAGATAGCTCTAACTCTAACTCTAATAATATTTATGTAATTGTATTTACAATAAATACTTCATTATTAATATTATTGTTATAATTAATTATAATTCATAAAATTATTATAAACGTATTTACCTTGTACCTACCTACTTGTATTGATACTTGCGTGAAAAATGAAATGTTACTTTTTATATTTCTGTAGCTGGTCTTACAATCCTTTATAGAGCAATTCACCATTTAAATTTAAAAACAAAACAAGTTTTTATACTCAAATAATTAAAAAAATTTAAACAGAACATAAGTATAATTAAAACTAAATAAAATAAACAACTCAACAAAATGTCCGACTGAGTAATGACAATGAGAACAAAATCTCAACTAGACTAAACTTATACCATGACTAAACTTTATTTAAAACCGGTCCTGTGAAAGTTTTGTTTACCAGTGAGCACTCAAAATTGAGACAAAACACAAACATTGCATGCACTAGACAAAGAGAAAACATCTCCCAGTTCGACCCGCTTTTCATCGTTTTATTTACGTATGGATAAGCAGTCTATTTAAACTATATATGTCATTGGTTCCCGTTGAGTTAAATGTCATGTCATATGTCAAATTTGAAAACTGCACAGAACACAGGTCAAGTTTTTAACGGGTTCTGTTTTTTGTTTTGAATTTTCTTACTGTTTTTCAATGGGTTTTGCAATTTTGCGTTAGAGATTTTCAGTTTAAAATCTGCCAATAAACTTATATTATTTAGCATGAACGATTCATTTGAGTTAATGAGTTCAATGTCTCCAAAAATTACAAACAAACTAATGCCTGGAGAAAGGCGATTTCGAAGAGGTACAAATCATAAAATTTAATTTAATTTTTAATTTTAAAGATTTTTTCTAGTTGCAGGTGCATCAATTTTGGCTTTAAAAAAGAATATCAGACGAAGTTCAATTTTGGACAAATCTTTAAACACAAATAAGATTGAAAATTTGAACATACTTGAGACTTCAAGTACATCCAGTACAGAATCATTTCCATCTCTTCAACTTATAGAATCTCAAAATAATTCTATTATTTTAATACCAGACAGTGATGTTTCGGCAAGTGAAGATGAATTGAAAAAAACGGAGGTAAAATCAGAAGTTAATCATTTGTTACCTGAAGACAAATTAGCTGCAATTTCAGATTGGGTATCAAATATTAACGTTAACGTAGAAAATAGTACAATTTCTTCCGTATATACCGAACTATCGACAATATGCGGCACCGACTTTGCTAATGAATTATTAGAAAAAGAAAAAGGTCATGCTGTAAATTCGACTTTTGTGAACGGTCATGACAAAAAGTTTGAGGAAGTGTTCGGTCGAAAAAACAATTTTGAATTCGCTGAGGAGAGTAATTCAAGTGATGATAATGTTAAGAATGTAATCGAGGACTCGTTTGAAATTTTAAATCAAAGTTTACGCACACGATTGAAGATTTCCAGGATAAATGATAAACTTGAGTCGGAGATACCTAGTGTAAATAATAAAGCCGATGGTGATGGAGGAACTCAATTAAATGATGATAAGTGGACATCCATACAGTTTTCAGGTAAATATACTTACCTATCAATTGGCAAATCAATAATAGTATGTTTATTTCTAAAGCAATAAGTTATAAGTAGAGGGCAACTAATATAATTAATATACCTGGCTTTAATCAATGTGATGGTGTAGTTATATATATATTAAAAAACAATATTCAGTTTGAAATAGAAATAGAATGTATTCATCTTTGAGAATTATACACTATACACAGATATTAGGTGGGTGATTGCCCCAAAAGTGAGTAATTTAGAAGGTAAATGTGTCTGAAAGATAAAAGTAAAAAATAATTGTAATAACTGTGCTTAAGATATGTATTAGATGCATAAGTAAAAATCTTTGTATGATAATGTTATGAAATATGTTATTGAAATATTTGCATTTTAAAAAAATAGCCAAACACGGAACTGACAATCGAAGCAGGGTACTGACAATCAAAGCACATTACTGACAATCAAAGCACGGTACTGACAATTGAAGTATGAGTCTGACAAAACATTCCACTAACGTGATGCATTTTAAAAAATATAAAAAACAAACAAACTTTTTATAGTTTAAGAAACATTTATATCATAAAAAATAAAAAAAGTAAATGTAAAAAGTCTTTCAGTAAAAATATAAATACTTGAACAGTCAAATAGTGTTTAAACATACTTTTTTTTGGTTCTTTAAGGAACTTTAATAATAGAAAATAAGTACTTTATAAAACATTATTAGTACATGTAACTCTTAATTCTGGAATTAAGCATACAAAAATAAAAAAGTAATAATACAGTTAAAGAACAATAAAAAAAGAAAACAAAAAATAATTTAGTTGCCCATAATTGAGCAATGAGTAACACCACAAATAAAAATCTAATTCTGTTGTACTTGTACAGTTGTACTAAAAATATTAGAAACTTATACCTAAATTTATCAATCAAGCAGATTCAAATATGTCCACTATTTCCGAAAATTTATAATACACTCGGTTACCTTTTAATACTAAATTAGGTTGAGGTAAAACTTTAACAATTTGATCATATTCCATACAGCTTTTATCCTGCTCATCCAGTCTGAAAATTTGCTCATTTCTGTTGGATTTGTCTGATGTAATTTTAAGAAAAGCTACTGTTACTTCACCATCATTATCAACGTCACTTTGGCAAACAGCTGCGTAACGGTAAATGTATCAAAAGTTTTGGCATCTTTTATTTTGTTTTTCTCTTTTTTAACATTTACAAGAATGTAGGAGCCAGTTTTTATAGAAGTCGACGATTTGGAGCAGATCGGCTCATTGGTGTTTTCTTCATCACTGTATACATCCTCATATTTCAGTTTCTTATGTGAGGCATTACGTTTAGATAAAAGAAGCGAATTTTTTAATTTGCATTCAGTGGCATTAAAGGTACTTTTAGATATTTCACGGTCTACCTTTGTTCCATTGTTGTAATTGAGTTGTCCCTGTTCAAAGTGTTTGCAAAATTCTTGACAGTCAAGACAGGCTAAAGACCTTAAAAAAAGAATTCTAGTTCCAGTAAAGGTCTTAATCTGATGGACTTTCATGGTTCCATGAAATGACAATCTTTTGGTATTTTTAATTAAATCTTTACAGTACTGTATTTCTTCATTGGTGATTTCGAAAAAGTGAACACCAGTGCAATGTTCACGTAAAACTAATACAAGATCTTGAAACGTGGAAATGTCTTGCCCTTGTGCGACAATGCGGTCGGCTGTGCGCTTGCATACCCCACCTATGCCGTCACCGTCAGGAGCACCCTTTCCCTGGCCCGGCTCGCTGTAATTCTATATCATTGAAATGTTTCTTTAATTGATTAGCAATGAAGGAAAACATATCTTTATTCCGGTACTGAGTACTTGGACTGTCACTCAAAAAATGTAGTTTTCTAATACCTTTGTTAGCATAAAATTTGAATAGTGGAAACAAATGCGCCCATATGGCAGGTGGGTTATGATCCAGGGATTCTGAAAGAGTGCAAAAGCTGTCCATATTGACTCCAGTGTTTTGCAAATTCGAATATGCTACAGATATGTGCATTGTTATTTGTTGCTGGAATCCTCCAAAATGGTAGGATTGTATTTCTTGCGAGTACTTTAGACTGTAATTTTCACTAAAGTCACAGTGTAAAATTAATTCATTTGGTTGTAAGGATTCTTTTAATGTCTATAAAATTGTATTGGTGTCCAATTCGAGCACTGTGGCACATAAAAGATTTTAATTGGCATTCAAACTGTTACACAAAATCAGACACTTTTACTTGCTTGGCAGCTTTGGCAATTTTTTTAAGGTCTGTTCCAACAACAATCAGAAACCAGTCATTGACACCAGGATTCTGCGCAGTTGATAATTTCGACCGCCAAACTGTATACTGCGCAGAATCTTGGTGTCGGTGACTGGTTTCTGACCGTTGTTGGAACATACCTTAATAGTCCAGTAACTGAAGGGACAAACCTGTCATTAAGTCGGTCCAGATTTTCGTTGTGGCTCAACTCTTAGGTCTCGGCGGTCGCTTCCAAGGTCGAAAACTTTTACCAACTTTGCTGCGTCGGAAAGGGCCCAAAATGGACCCTAAAACTGGCTTCCCGCCAATATCTCCCACAATATGCAAATTAGAGAATTTTTGGTTAGATAAAAAAGAAAGATCTTATCATTATCTACAAAAATGGTCCCTACCATTTTTGTCGGGAATTCGACAGGTTTCGAGATAACCGCAATCAAAAGTCCCTCGTTCAGTCCCTGCTTTATCTCTATAGCAATGCTGATTAGCTTGTAAACTGGTGGACAAATTGTTTCAGAACTCGGTCAAAAATTGATATTTTTCGATGATTCAAAGTTCATTACAATGGGAAAACCCATAGGTATCGATCCATGTGCCTTGAAGCCCGTTATTTCCTGTCAAGAACATTGAAAAATGGGTCAAAGTTTCGTTTTTCTACTATTTTGGACCACTTTATAGTAATTCATTCATATTTTTTTTCTTTTAATAATTTTTTATCCCATTTTTGTTTTAAATGGGATCTTGAGATGTCTCGAATGATCTCAGAATTTTTTTTCCAGTGTCTTCCTGGCGTTTTAAAACAAAATTGATTTGTTTATTTGCATTTTTCATACGTTTGCGGAGTTCTAGAAATCTTTGAAACAAGCAGTAATTAAAAACTCATATTTCATTATATTTTTATTCAATGCACACCATTTTAAAGCTTAGAGTGTCTACTTTTTGAATGTATTTTTTTTTTTAATAAAGTTGCTCCATTTTCCAGAAATCGGGAAAATTGATCACACCGGGGAAACCGGACTTTTTTTTTAAATACTTCTTGTTCCCCGCTGTTCATTTTTTGAACATTAATACCCAGACCGAAGTGAAGCTGATATTCTCACCTTTCCATTTCTATCAATTGATCCCCATATGTGAGCGTGGTTCTTAACTGTTTGTTAGAATTATCTCCCCCATTTTTACGCCCTCCGCCTGAGATCTATGATATTCCATCAAAACCTAACCACGTGTACCCACGCGCCACGCGCTCACCTTAATCGTCTGCTTTTGTTGGTATACAATCTCTGTTATTTTTGGAGTCGTTATTGTCGGTTGTTATATATTTCTTTCGTATATTTAAAGAAAATTCACAATTCTGGGTTCGAGTAGTACAATAATAAACAATGATTACTTTTCTTTTCTATATTTAACACAAATGAGTTAAAGTGGAATATATATCGAAGATTTGGGGTTGAGGTAAGTCTTTTGTTGCTATATCTATCATATAATTATTTCTACTAATGTTATTCTTTTTTTTTAGGTTAAAACAAACATAAAATAGAAAGCCCTTTAGATACAGAGCTTTTGGCGGCACTTCTAGAAGATTTGCTTTACAAAGTTAGTGTAAATTACCAGAAAAATTAATGAAATTAAGTGTAAAAGGGATCCGGCCCCCCGGAACTCTTGAAGATGATTTTTTATCAGTGCAAGACAGGCTGCGAGAAGAATTGTTCATGTTTGAAAGCCGGACTGAAATGCTCACCTGTCTGTGGTTCGTGTCAGTCGACACAGTGTTTTAATTATAACAAAAATGAAGGTATTTTCCCGGAAGAAATAGAGATGGATCGAGACCCAGAAGGGGTTGAAGGGGAGGAGGATGAAATAGCTGTCGAGACAGCAACACATGTGTTGGAAAAATAGGGGGAAGGGGCGCGTGGGAAGGAATAGAGCAAGAGCAAGACGATGAAGAGTATGATTCTGATGACATTGAATGGTTTAACGTATGATAAATTATAAGCATTGCTATGTATTTCGTATTTTCAACATGTTTTTCATAATAAAAGTATTGATTTTTCTGAGGTAATAACTTAAGAGACTTTGACAAACATATATTTAATAATCAAAAATAGTTTCAAATCACTGTCAAAAACAAAGACATCATATTAAAATCTAGCAAACACATTCAATATACAGAGTGAAGTTAATAATAATAATTGAGAATTACACTGGGCAATTTCAACACTCTCCCTCAGTGTGTATTCTCCATTATTTTTGCACACAAATAATTTAAGGAATCTCTTGATAAAGGCTTTGTTAACATATCTGAAATATTTTCCTTTGATTGAATATATTCGATGTTAACATCTTTCGATATAACGCGTTCCCTAACATAATGATACTGAATATCTATATGCTTGCTTCGTTGATGAAGAGCTGGATTTTCAGAAATATGTATTGCGGCCTGGTTATCACAAAGTAATAGTGTATTGGTTTGACCAAGAAGATCTTTTATGATATATTGCATCCAAATAGCTTGTCTACAAGCTATGCTTAGTGCCATATATTCAGACTCTGTTGTGCTTACTGCCACAGATTGCTGTTTCTTAGTAGTCCAAGATACAGGAGCCAATCCATAAAAACCCATATATCCACTATACGATCGCCTATCATCAATGCAACTTGCATAAGAAGCATCACTAAACATTGATATTGATGGTGAAATTGTGTATTTGTATATAAGTTTTTGATTTACGGATCCTCTGAGATAACGTAAGAGATGTTGAATCATATTATCATGAATAACCGTAGGATCTACACAAAATTGTGATAATATATTAACTGCAAACGTTATATCTGGCCTTGTTCCTGTAGCGAGGTAAAGAAGACTTCCAATTTTTGATTGGTAACATTTTTTATCGGTTCTCAAATCACCTTCTTTCGCTTTTTGTGGCTTGCAGCCTGGATCCATTGGCGTAGATGTAGGATTGCAGTTAGACATTTTATACTTCTCCAGTAATTTAAGAATATACTGTTTTTGATGTATATATACATAAGTTGGGCCCCATTCAATTTGTAACGATAATAAAAATTTTGGTATACCAAGAAAAGTGACTTCAAAATTATTTTGTAGAGCATTTTCGATTTTGCGTATCCTTTCTTCGGTACTTCCTAATAATAATATATCATCTACATATATTGCTAGAGCCAGTTGATAATCTGATGATACAAATAAACATGGATCTGGAACTGATTGGTGGAGATTAATGCCTTTAAGAACTGATACTAGCCTATGATTCCATTGACGTGGGGCCTGCTTTAATCCATAAATACTCCTTTTTTAGAAGACATACTCTCCCTTGTTCCTCACTCAAACCCTCTGGTAATTTCATATAGATTTGAAAGTCTATGTCGCCGTTGAGAAATGCAGTCTTTATGTCTAGCTGTCTGGCAACCATTTGTTTGTTAACTGCATGTGCTAGTAAAATTCTAACTGTCTCGTAGCGCACGACGGGAGCAAAAGTATCCTCAAAATCAATACCGTGTATTTGACTATACCCTTGTGCTACTAGTCTTGCCTTATATTTGGAGATTTTCCCATTATCTCCTAGCTTTTTCTTAAAAACCCATTTACATCCAATGGTTCTTTCTTCAGGAGGCATTTCAATAATCTCCCAAACATTATTTTTCTTCATTGACTCGAGTTCATCATTGATGGCAGCTATCCATAAATCTGATTCAGGTCCTCTAACAGCATCTATATATGAAAGTGGTTCATCTAAAGCTAAGTTACAAAATTCCTCTGTATAGCGAATAGGCGGTTTACTTTCTCTTGCGCTGCGTCTGAAGGATACATAATTTGGTGTTAAATCTGGTTCTTTACTGGATGTTGATGGCGTAGAATTTGGTACTAAGTCTGGTTCCTCATAGGATGTTGATGGCAAATTAAATTGAGTTTCTTTATTTTCACTTTGATCAGTCTCTCCACTATTTTCATTAGGATTTTGTACAGGGGTATTGTTTACTTCCTTTCTTTCTAATGGTGATATAAATATTACTCCTTCTTGACCTTCTTGAGGGATTAACTTAAAGTCTTTCGACACAATTATAGTTTTACCATTCCAAAACCGGTACCAGCCTGCTTTTTTGCCAAATCCGATTAGAAATGATTTGTAGGCTCTAGGATACAGTTTGCTTCCTGGCCTTTGAGTTGCCGAAGGGATATTTACATAGGCCTTTTGGCCGAAGTATTGTAGATGACCTATCTTTGGTTTCATTCCAAAAAACATTTCAAAGGGAGTTTTTTTCATTGAATGCGTGAGGAATTCTATTTTTTATATATACCGAGTGTGCTACCGATTCTGCCCATAATGTCAAGGGCAAATCAGAATCAATTAGATTGGTTCTAGACATTGTAGTTACAGTTCTATTTAGTCTCTCTGCTAATCCATTCGTTTCATGTATATATGGTATAGAATTTTCATGTTCTATACCGCGTGACTTAAAGAATAATTGTAAAGTTCACATGCTTTACAGTCTATTATGATGGATTTAATATTCGGAATAACATTACGATCAGCTACTGCGCACTTAAGATCTCGGAAGGAACTTATAGGAAGATGTCCCAATCGTCTATGCCAACTAGTTATATTTTCTGAGGCATTACTAAAATTAGATGATTGCAACTCAGCTTCCTGGAAAACATTTTCTTTTAATTGAGATACAATCCACCCAATCATACGTCCATTTTTCCATAATGTTATATCTTTATCACCTTTCATTGTTACTCCATTTGTTCTGATAGTTTCCCAAGACATCAGTGAACACTTTAATTCTGGAGCATACAAGACATTGTGTAATCTGACATTCAGAGTTGAACCATCAGGTAATATAGCTTTAAGTTTAACTTCTCCGATATGAGTAACTTCAATCTTTTTATCATTACCCAGTCGAATGAAACTGTTGTAGGGACGAAGATTACAAAATGCATCTTTATTTCCAGACATATGAAAAGTTGCACCTGTATCAAATATCCATCTGTTTGATTTAGAACTGGTTGTAAATGCTGGATAGGCATGCTCGTCATCTTCTGAATCCCATACTGTATTATTTGTTTTTTCATCTTCTTTTTTATTTCGGCAGTTTATTATTGTATGCCCTTCATATCATTTTTTCTTATCTTTACAATACGTGCATTCTTTTGTATTATATCTTCTAAAATTTTTATTTCTTCCCAAGAATGCTTGTTCATCTTCAGCTATAGAATTAGTTTTTTTAGACAATTCTAATAATCGTGCGCATACATCATCATATGTTAAGTTTTGTTTAGTTTTTAGATTATCTATTATGTTATCTAATTCTTCTGGTAAGGTTGTGAGAAAAAGTGATCCCTTTGCCTTCATTGAATTTGCTAGCGGACGTAGTGCAGCTTCTAGGGAATCGCGTTCTTCATTGGAAGTAACTGAAGTCCTTTCTACTAACCGTGACCACAATTCATTGTATTTAGCAATGTGTTCCTGTATTTTGGCTTTATTTTCGCATTTAATTCCAACTATTGATTTTACAAGAGCGTGAAGAGAGTATTCATTTTTTCGGTCAAACAAATCGTTTAAAACTCTCCACATATCCCAAGAAACTGTGTAGCAAGTGATCTGAGAAGCGATATTCGTATCCACATTGAAAAGAATAAAAGCCCTGGATAAGGAATGACGATACCTCCAGTCTTCACATTTAGAAACATAATTGTTTTTTTCTTCTGCATGTTTATTTGAATCTTTCGTATCAAATTCTGGAACATTTAGTTAAGGATTCGTTTCTTCTCCATTGACTATTTTGTACAGATTATATAAATCCATATAAGCAAAAGCCATTGCTCGCCAGGAGTGGAAGTTAGATAATCCATGAAGTTTATCTATCTTTGGAAACTTATCCATAACTGTATTTTATGCAATTTAATTGCAAAATATTGTGTCTAGTTTCTTTTAGTTATAGCGTTGTCTGGGCGCATAACCTATTGATTTTTCTGAGGTAATAACTTAAGAGACTTTGACAAACATATATTTAATAATCAAAAATAGTTTCAAAATAACTGTCAAAAACAAAGACATCATATTAAAATCTAGCAAACACATTCAATATACAGAGTGAAGTTAATAATAATAATTGAGAATTACACTGGGCAATTTCAACAAAAAGAAATTTTTCAGAAACTTTATTTTTCTGAAACCCTGGACCTATATTGTTCCGATAGAAGTTGGCGAAAATTTTGCAAAAGACGCAGAAAATATGAAGGGTCTTCTCGGGTCAATATTCATCACACTCTAAAACTAATAACCCACTATTAGGCAATTTGAGACTGCCACATGAAAAAAAGATAGATGAGATACCCAAAGCGCTACTTTACAGAAAAAATCCCGTAGAATCCGCCAATAATTGTCGAAAGATCGATTGGTGCCCGGATTTCCATTCATAGGCCCCATAATTTAGTGAACAGAGGTATGCCGCTGGCGCCATCTACAATTGGTCTCCAAAGTCCAAAACATGAAAATCAATGTATTCCCAACTCCCTCGAGCGGAAATTCAGTGAGAAACTAACATTTCTATTCAGTGCAAAAATTCTGGCTTTTCGAAGGCCGATTTGCAAAAAATATTCGTCTTGCGCAAAAAATGGTAGGGACCATTTTTGTAGATAATGATACGATCTTCATTTTTTATATAAACAAAAATTGTCTAATTTGTATATTTTGGCAGATATTAGCGGGAAACCATTTTTTAGAACTTTAGGGGCCATTTTGAGCCCTTTCCGACCCAGCAGTGTTGGTAAAAGTTTTCGCTCTTGAAAGCAACCGTCAAGACCTAAGAATTGAGCCACAAAGGAAATCTGGACCGACTTAATGACAGCTTTGCATAATTTCAGGTCTTCAGTTACTGGACTAATATTCGATTATGTATACCCAGAAATCGGCGAAAATACAAATTAATTTGTTCTCCATAAAGTTGAAATGCCCGCAGTACGTGGGACATGGTGTATAATAAGAAAAACCTTTAACAATAGTTTTATATTTGCAGAAGAATCTACAAATACGATTGACGAATCATTTAAAAATCTGGTGATCGAGGAATCCTTTAAAATTAAAACTGATAACTATGAAACTCCTCTGAAGAATACTTCTATAAATAAATGGAAAGCCGTAGAAATATCAGGTAAGAATTATGCTCAAAAATTTGTATTATTTCTCTAATAAACAATATTTTTTGTTTGTAATCTTGTAGTCTGTGATCATTTTTAAGGGCAGTCAGCCATTGCTTGCTAGGTTATACAGGTATTTACAAAAACATACCACATATTCCTTACACCAAAATAAGTCGATTTAAGTAAAATTACCTTATTACAAAGTTGCTTCGTTTGGGCTCCAGAGGGCCTTGAAGTTACAATTTTTAAATCGTTTTTCCCATATAAATTTAAAACGGCATATGCGATTTTGCTGAAATTTGGTATATTGGTAGAGATTTATGTGGCAACAAAAATGGTATTAAAATTTTGTCCGATAATAATACATAGGCGTAGAACTTGATTTTTTAAATAATTGCACCTTTAAAAATTCTACGCCAATGGAAGAAAAGGAGTTTGAGTATGAAATTTAGATTGCGCAACTCATTTACTTTAAAAAAGGTACTCTTGATAAGATTCGATTACTCTCATGGTTTTCGCTAAATTTCTGTTTTAATAATTTAGAGTGTATAGGTTTCACAAAAATATTTATTTACAACATAATCAAAATAGAGATTTTACAAAAATTGTTCAAAATGTTCACCATTTTCACGCATACAAAGATTTAAACGTCGAAGAAAATTAAAATGTATCCTTTCCATAACTTCTTCATCACCTCTAAGATTGTTTATTGCATCTTGAATACGTTGCCAGAGTAGTTCCTCATTTTCTACAGGTTCCCTGTAAACTGTGGATTTCAGATATCCCCATAAAAATTACTCTATCGGTGTTTGGTCTGGGGAACGTGGTGACCAGTTTACAGGTGCGTCATTACCTCTGACTATCCATTTGTGTGGATATTGTTCATTCAAGTGGTTTCTAACGTTTAAAGAAAAATGTGGCTCCATCTTGCATAAATCATATATCTCTCCGAACGTATTTTGTAGAAAATTCCACACCTGTAATTTTGAACCAATCAAAATACGTGTTTTTGACAGATCACCATGGCAACGGAGGTATTTTAGTGGAATTTTTTTTCTCGTGGGGTACCCAACAGCGAATTATACTGGAAATTTTTTGACGTTTACAATAATAGACCATTTTTGACAGACTGATTTTTATTTGTTCACATAATAGGTTTAGTTTTGATACATTTTAGTTACAGTGCTAAGGTGTTTTCTATATTCTTCGGCCACTTCTTTTCTTCTTAATGGCGAAAATGCAGGACTTTGGATGCTTTGAATTATGTGTCTATGTCTAATAAAATATATATAATATTTAGACACTAATTTATTCACCTTTTTCCCATTCAGCACTTTGAATTTTGCGTAGTTTAGGTGCAAATATTCGTGGACAATTCGGAACAAATTTTCGTTTTTCAAGTTGGAGCCACAATCCTCTATTAATCCGAGTAAGTAAGTCATGGTGCAATGATTGATCATTACATCAGACAATTTCACGCATATTTTGCATAGCGTATGATTTTCAAATCGATTCATTTTTAAACAAATAGGTAATTTTGTTGGTTTTACTTGCTGTGCAATATTCTTTATCGCAACAAAACGCGAGTTATTTAATGTTTTGAACTGTCAAAATACAATGATCACAGCCTCCTACGATTGATGCTTGCTGACGCTGGTTATGAATTTCATACCATTTTAAAGCGCTCATAACGCATGTTAATAAAAACGCAGAAAAACAATTTTCTACCACTTGTAGTTATTCAAAACTTACGTAAAATTAAAGAATATACTATTTTCTATTTTCAAATGGTATTCCCATGCAACTACAATGAGTAGAAATAAGCAATTTGAAGGCCTAAATAATTGCAGCGAAACATTTTTTTACGTCGGGCCGCTTGACAACTTCAAAACTGAAATTATATTCGAGGTTAGGGTCTCACTTAGTTACCATGACAACTCAACAATCAAGGCGACAACACCTTTTATGTTTCACTGGTGACTTGGAGAAAATAATTTGCATTGTTGAGAAACGAAAAATAAATTTTAAAAATATTTAATTTTCAACCATAATTCGGCGTGGAATTTTCTTACCGAATACCACGCGAGGTCAAATTAATATCAGGAAATTTTTTGACCTCTAGTGGTATTACTAGTGAAAATCCAAATAATTTTCTCCAGTTAATCTTCGTGGAAGTATGACAGGACCAACAATGAAGTTACCAATTATTCCAGCCCACACATTAATTTTGAATTCGTGCTGAAAATGGTTTACCTTTATTGCATGCAGATTTTCAACGGCATAAACATGTTCATTATGGGTATTAGTTATACCTCTTCTTGTAAAACCCGCTTCATCAGTAAAGAGAACCTTCTTGACAAAGTTTGGATCTCTTTCTCTTTGCATATTAACAAATCGACAAAAACCCAAACGAATTTGAGGATCATGGACTAATAATTCTTGTACTGGCTTCTTATGGTATGGATATAGCAATTGTTTTCCAAGCACTTTATGAACGACATCTTTACTTACTCCTAGTTCCCTTCCAATTCGTCTGGTGCTTAATTCTGGATCTTCTTCAGCACGTTCTAAAATGTCTTCTTCAACTTCAGGAATCCTTACAAAACGTTCTCGTCCATTATCAACAGTGTTGGGAGCAAAGGAACCGGTCTTCCGAAGACGTCTCTCAACAGCAGCAAAAGTTAGGTGGCTAGGTACACGACGATTTGGAAACCTTTCAGAGTACACCCTGACACTCTCTCGAGCATTTCCTTCACAAAATCCTAATGTCAGTAGCATATCGGTATATTCTGCATTGGTATATTGTACAGCCATATTAATAAACCACGCATTTGTTTTTTTAATTATTGAGTCAGATAGAACACTTTCAATCGTTAATAAGAGATTAGGTGTTAAAACTTGACAATATTTTTATTTAGATGAAACTATGGAAACCAACAATAAATGTTTTTGTATACGTATTGCAGGCAAATAATTAATATTCCTCAAAGAATCGTACATGGCAAGAATCGAGTATTTTTGTTAAAAGTCTCGATTAGAGGTGTTGAAGAAGATATGAAAAAGTACATTTTTATGTTTTTCATCGTATAAAATTTTGTCCGATAATAATACATAGGCGTAGAACTTGATTTTTTAAATAATTGCACCTTTAAAAATTCTACGCCAATGGCAAAAAAGGGATTTGAGTATGAAATTTGGATTGGGTACTCATTTACTACAAAAAAGTACCCTGGATAACACTCGATTTACTCTCATGGTTTTGATAAAGTTTGTATTTTAATAAATAATTATTGTTTATGTTCTAAAATTACTAAAATGCAAATTTCGTCAAAACCATGAGAGTAATCGGGTCTTATCAAGAATACCTTTTTTAAAGTAAATGAGTTGCGCAATCTAAATTTCATACTCAAATTCCTTTTCTTCCATTGGCGTAGAATTTTTAAAAGTGCAATAATTTAAAAAATCAAGTTCTACGCCTATGTATTATTATCGGACAAAATTTTAATACCATTTTTTTTTTGCCACATAAAACTCTGCCAATATACCAAATTTCAGCAAAATCGCATATGCCGTTTTAAATTTATATGGGAAAAACGATTTAAAAATTGTAAATTCAAGGCCCTCTGGAGCCCAAACGAAGCAACTTTGTACTGAGGTAATTTTACTTAAATCGACTTATTTTGGCCTAAGGAATATGTGGTATGTTTGTGTAAAGACCTTTTACAGACAACCTGTATATTAATATTAGTAACCCGTTTTAATCATTTATTTACTAATCTTTATATCCATCTATATCCATCCCAGCTGAAGTGGATCAACTCTTTTTTTTTTTTTAACAAAATCCTTATTCAATCTTTTGTGATGTGATATGAGTATATAACAATATATTTGTACAATTTTTACAAATTTGTGAACAAAATTTAAAAAGCCATGTTATAAAGTTTGGTGCTTTCTTAAGCAAGAAAAAAATCCAAATATCTTAGCCCTTTCTAACTTATCTCTCAAAATTAAAATTCTAGATGCCCTTTAAAATTACCTTAGAGTACAAGATTACTGTTTTTTTTTTATTTCAACATAAACAGGTTTTAATTTAAAAATATTTTTAGACGATTCTGGTGAGGATGAAAGTGTTGCAGAAAATATGTTAGATCAGTTGTACGGCAATTCTTGGAGAATAAACAAGGATTTAGTATTATCGAAAACGGAACCCAGGAAGACAGTTAAACAACCCGATATCAGAAATTTAGCCAAGACACAATGGTAATATTATGTAGTAAAAATAAAATATTTTATAAATTTATTTTAAATATAATTTGAAAAATTGCGTACTTTACTCCTATGCGCTCTTTTCGGAGTATAGAACTTCTACATACATATATAGGGTGTTCCTTAATAATATGTAAATATTTAAGGGTATAAATCTACATGGATAGATGGATGGATGGATGGATGGATGGATGGATGGATGGATGGATGGATGGATGGATGGATGGATGGATGGATGGATGGATGGATGGATGGATGGATGGATGGATGGATGGATGGATGGATGGATGGATGGATGGATGGATGGATGGATGGATGGATGGATGGATGGATGGATGGATGGATGGATGGATGGATGGATGGATGGATGGATGGATGGATGGATGGATGGATGGATGGATGGATGGATGGATGGATGGATGGATGGATGGATGGATGGATGGATGGATGGATGGATGGATGGATGGATGGATGGATGGATGGATGGATGGATGGATGGATGGATGGATGGATGGATGGATGGATGGATGGATGGATGGATGGATGGATGGATGGATGGATGGATGGATGGATGGATGGATGGATGGATGGATGGATGGATGGATGGATGGATGGATGGATGGATGGATGGATGGATGGATGGATGGATGGATGGATGGATGGATGGATGGATGGATGGATGGATGGATGGATGGATGGATGGATGGATGGATGTTCAATCACGGTTAAACGAATCTGGATAAAATTTGGCACAGATATAGATTACAGTCTAGAATAGCACATAGGCTACTTTTTATCCCGGAAAATGTACGATTCCCGTGGGATAGATTTGTTTTTGTTTTTAACAGACTAAGAGATCCACGTGATTTTTGCATAGTGATAGTGAAAATTTAAAATAATTAAGCATAAATAAATAATTTTATGGGGGAAAAGGGGGTTCAAAGTTTGTATGGGGCTTTTGGTTTTTTAAAGATAGGAACTTAAAAATTGGAATTGTAGCTACTCATTATAAGTAAATAATGACATAATATAAGCTTTTTAATTTTCATATTTTAAAGGGAGGAGTGAATGGGGATTATCGTAAAAATAAATAAAAATAAATAAAAATATATAAAAATAAATAAAAATAAATAAAAATAAATAAAAATAAATAAAAATAAATAAAAATAAATAAAAATAAATAAAAATAAATAAAAATAAATAAAAATAAATAAAAATAAATAAAAATAAATAAAAATAAATAAAAATAAATAAAAATAAATAAAAATAAATAAAAATAAATAAAAATAAATAAAAATAAATAAAAATAAATAAAAATAAATAAAAATAAATAAAAATAAATAAAAATAAATAAAAATAAATAAATAAAAATAAATAAAAATAAAAAATAAATCAAAATAGAAATAAACAATAATAAACGAACAATATTTTAATCTGAATAAGAAAATGCGACAATTAAAAAAATTATGTCGTAATTTTTTTTGGTATATTTTATATATATTTTAAATTTTATTTATGCTCATGTAAATGCACAAATTGTTTGACGTATGTTAATACCTAAGCTGCCAGAAAATTTTACAGCAATTGTACGAACAACGGCACCCATAAAAAGTATTTTTTTTATTTTATTTTTATATATGAATATGAAAATGCTCAAATTAATTTTTTTTTTTCGTACAATTTTTTATTTTTATTTGTTTTTTTATCTTCTTTACTTTTTTATTTTTATTTATGAATAAGAAAATACACAAATTGAAAATTAGTTTTTATCGTATTTTTTTATTCAATTTTTTTTTGTATTTTGTTGTATTTTTTTTAATTTATAAATAATACACGAATTGAAAAAAAATTGTATTTTTTTACAATACATTTATTCTTAATTTTAATTTAATTTTTTGATTTTTCTTAATTTTTTTATTTTTTTCATTTATGCATAAAAAAATGCACGAATTATTTACTTAGATCGATAGTGACGGCATATGTTAATGCCTAATCTGCTTTAAAATTTGACAGCTGTACAAACAAGTCAAAAATGAAAAATTAAGCTCTATAAAGGGTCGAAAAGAATTGGTTTTGGACAAAAAATCTGAAAAAAAAATTGTAGGGCTATGGAAGATTGAAATTTTTAGGAAAAATAAATAAAATAAAGAAAGGACAAATTCTATGGATATTGAAGAAAATCTGGTTAAAATGGGACTTTAAGAGGGGGTTGAAATTAAAAAAAAAATCAAAAACGAAAAACGATAATACAGTATCTGTATACCAAATTTAATTAAAATATCTAGAGTGATATTAAAGATATTAAAAATTTATTTATATTTAAAAACTTTACCACCCTCTATCTCAAAAGTTAAGACGTTTAGGACATACGTTCATATGTAGTTTTCTTTTTAAAATGGACCTAAAAATCACCTCCTTAAATATTGATATTCAAATTCTAGTTTTTTGTTTTTATTTGTTTTCGTTTGATTTTTTTTTTTTTTAGTTTTTTCATTTGTTTCTATTTGTTTTCGTTTGCTTTTGGTTGTTTTAGTTTGTTTTTATTTGTTTTTACTTGTTCTTACTTGTTTTTACTTGTTTTGACTTGTTTTTACTCGTTTTTACTCGTTTTTACTCGTTTTTACCCGTTTTTTACCCGTTTTTACTTATTTTTACTTCTTTTTGCTTGTTTTTGCTTGTTTTTACTTGTTTTTACTTGTTTTTTTACTTGTTTTACTTGTTTTTTACTTGTTTTTACTTGTTTTACTTGTTTTTACTTGTTTTTACTTGTTTTTACTCGTTTTTACTTGTTTTTACTTGTTTTTACTTGTTTTTACTTGTTTTTACTTCTTTTTATTTGTTTTTGTTTGTAATATTTTTTGTTTTTATTTGTTTTTGGTTTCATTTGTTTTTGTTTTTATTTGTTTTTGTATGTATTACTTTTTGTATTTATTACTTTTTGTATTTATTACTTTTTGTTTTTATTTGTTTTTGTATTTATTTTTCTTTGTTTTTCATAGTTTTTCTTTGTTTTTCTTTGTTTTTCTTTGTTTTTCTTTGTTTTTCTTTGTTTTTCTTTGTTTTTCTTTGTTTTTCTTTGTTTTTCTTTGTTTTTCTTTGTTTTTCTTTGTTTTTCTTTGTTTTTCTTTGTTTTTCTTTGTTTTTCTTTGTTTTTCTTTGTTTTTCTTTGTTTTTCTTTGTTTTTCTTTGTTTTTCTTTGTTTTTCTTTGTTTTTCTTTGTTTTTATTTGTTTTTCTTTGTTTTTATTTGTTTTTCTTTGGTTTTTTTTGTGTCATCAGCGTCGACTATTACGGCCATTAGCCTCGTGTTCTGTGTAGGCTTTGGTACTGTTTCCCAGCGATACTATAGGAACAGCACTGTTAATTAGAATCCAACAGTGAATGGTCGAGTGGGGAATCCTACCTGAGACCTTCCGATCTCTGAGTCATGACTCTAACCACTGAGACAACCCACCCCTTTGTTTTTCTTTGTTTTTTTCTTTTTTCTTCTTTTTTTCTTCTTTGTTTTTCATTGTTTTTCTGTGTTTTTCTTTGTTTTTCTTACTTTTTCTTTGTTTTTATTTGTTTTTCTTCGTTTTTCATTGTTTTTCTTTGTTTTTTGGTTTTCTTTGTTTTTCCTTGTTTTTCTTTGTTTTCATTATTTTTCTTTGTTTTTTTTTCTTTCTTTTTTTTCTTTGTTTTTAATTGTTTTTCTTTGTTTGTTTTTCTTTGTTTTTTTTTTCTTTGTTTTTCTTAGTTTTTCTTTGTTTTTTCTTTGTTTTTTCTTTGTTTTTATTATTTTTCTTTGTTTTTCTGTTTTCCTTTGTTTTTCTTTGTTATTCTTTGGTTTTATTTGGTTTTCATTGTTTTTATTTGTTTTGCTTTGTTTATCTTTTTTTTCTTTGGTTTTCCTTGTTTTCATTATTTTTCTTTGTTTTTCTTTGTTTTTCTTTGTTTTTCTTTGTTTTTCTTTGTTTTTCTTTGTTTTTCTTTGTTTTTCTTTTTGTTTTTCTTTGTTTTTCTTTGTTTTTCTTTGTTTTTCTTTGTTTTTCTTTGTTTTTCTTTGTTTTTCTTTGTTTTTCTTTGTTTTTCTTTGTTTTTCTTTGTTTTTCTTTGTTTTTCTTTGTTTTTCTTTGTTTTTCTTTGTTTTTCTTTGTTTTTCTTTGTTTTTCTTTGTTTTTCTTTGTTTTTCTTTGTTTTTCTTTGTTTTTCTTTGTTTTTCTTTGTTTTTCTTTGTTTTTCTTTGTTTTTCTTTGTTTTTCTTTGTTTTTCTTTGTTTTTCTTTGTTTTTCTTTGTTTTTCTTTGTTTTTCTTTGTTTTTCTTTGTTTTTCTTTGTTTTTCTTTGTTTTTCTTTGTTTTTCTTTGTTTTTCTTTGTTTTTCTTTGTTTTTCTTTGTTTTTCTTTGTTTTTCTTTGTTTTTCTTCGTTTTTCTTCGTTTTTTTTTTCTCGTTTTTTTCGTTTTACTTCGTTTTTCTTCATTTTTCTTCGTTTTTCTTTGTTTTTCTTTGTTTTTCTTTGTTTTTATTTATATTTCTTTGTTTTTATTTGATTTTCTTTGTTTTTTTTTATTTTCTTTGTTGTATTTTTATTTTCTTTGTTTTTTTTTTGTCATCGACTTCAACTGCTAATGTTATTTCGCCTCGTGTTCTGTTTAGGCTTTGTTACTGTTTCCTGGCGCCACTTTAGGAACAGCACAGTTAATTAGAACCCAACAGTGAATGGTCGAGTGGGGAATCCTACCAAGGCATCAGAATTAATTTTAAATTGTTTTTTATTTTCTTTGTTATTGTTTTTTTTTTTTATAATACTTTTCAGTTTGTTTTATTATCGTGAATGAAAATCTCTTGAAGTAATCTTTCAAAATAGTTATATTGACATTATTGTTTGCTAATTAATTTTTTTAGAACTATCTTCTTTTTTTTTCTCTATTTTAGCAAACCAAAATTCTCTCTTCTATATAAAAATCCGTATTTGGATACGGAAAAAGCAAAATCCCAATATTTATTAAATTCCAATCACAAATCTGCTAATTCAATTCATTTAGCAAGAATCAAAAGTTTATGCGATTCAGACACAAATTCGGACAATTCGATAAAGAAAAAAGTGCCCCGTACTAAGTTAAATTTTGACGACTCCAGCGACGAAAACGACGCAAAATCGAAATATTTTGAAACAAAAAATATTTATAACAAAGAAAATGTCGACTTTAATAATGTAAATACCAGATGTAGGCGTAAAACTACAAAATCTGCAAAGAAGAGTGCCGAAATTGATTCAGACGACGAATTTACGTTCAACAAAAAATTACAAATAAATTCAAAAATTAAATCGAAGAGGAATAACAATAAAAAACTATCGAGCAGTAGTTCAGAGAATGACGGTAATAACAGTAGTAACGATAGAGTTACATCTAAACCTAGTAATAGTAATAATTTAAAAATAATTCCAAAGAAAAATATCGAATCTAAGACTAAAAAACCACCTTCAACTGATATAATAAGTAAAAATAGTGATGACGAATGGGAAGACGAGGTTAGAGGGATAGAGAGAAGACTGACGATTGCCGATGATGGGACTTATAGTTTTCTTGCGTCTTTATCAGGTAATTTATTGATAGTAATAAATGTTTCTATTGTATTTTGATTTTATTGTGCATTTGTTATAGTCTATTTTTATGTATGAGAGAGTATTAAAATAATAAAGCGTTCGTAATCCATAGGCGTACCACTTCTTTTGGTAGACAGTTAAAATATTTTTTGAAGTTATTCCTCGAGTATACACTTATATTTTCACCTAATTAAGCTGCTTATAACTTCTAAACAGCTGAAGGTAAAAAAAGTGCAATTTTTTCTAAAATGTTTTATTTTTCCGCAAGGTATGTTAAGAACATTGTGTCAAACGGGTCATGTAGGTATAAGGGTTTAAACTTTGACTTTTAAACAACGTTACGTTCATAAATAATAATTTTAATATAAAAACTACTTCTTACCTACAAATCCAAATCAGAATCGAAATCAGAAGATGAACTGTCGCAACCAATATTTACAATGAGTGGCTCGATCATTTCATCAGTAATATTGTCCAACTTCCACATTTTCTCTTCTTCTTTAATCGTATGATTTACTGCCTTTTCCCAGTTTTCAGGCTTCACATTATTTACAGCCTCCAAAAACAACTGTTTAACATCACTCATTTTAAAAGAATTATTTTTTCTTGAAACTTCTCCTTTTATCTGTGCCCATATCAGTTCAATCGGGTTTACTTCGCAATGATATGGTGGTGATCTAACCACCGTCATCCCACGATTTTTTGCAATTTCATCAATTTCATATTTTTTGAATTTCTCTTTATGAAGGGAACACAAATGATACAGTTCTTTTCTCACAGAACCGGGATGGAACTTAATATTCTTTGAATTTAGCCAATTCTGTAAATCTTTTTTTAACCCCTTGGTTGTGGGCATTTTTTCTATAAGTCTTGAGTGCTAACTTGCATTATCCATTACTATTATACAGTTCTGAGGATGAAGATCTATAATTTGTTCGAACCACTCTTTAAAGACATCAGCATTCGGTAGTCACCGGTACGAGTAGATTCAAAAGTCAATAAACCACCTTTAACAAAACCGTTTGAACTACCGATGTGTACTGTTATTAGTTTGCGCCCCTTTCCTGATGGTGGATTTAAACCAGTAGATAAATTATTTAAAAAAGCCTGTCTTCGACTTGTAACAGTTTCATATTGCCAAAATTTATTTGGTTTATGTCCCTCGTTGATCCATGTTTCATCTAAATAAAATATATTTCTTCTTTGGTTTCTCATTTCTTTTATAGTCCTTAAGTAATTTCTTCTCCATACTACAATATCGCTTCTTTCTATTAAAATAGACTTTCTGGAATGCTTTTTCCATAGAAAACCTATTTCTTTTAAAAGTTTCCATAGTGTGCTTCGACTCATTTCAGGATAATCCTTATCATCTCGAACTGTGGCAAGAACTTTGTCTACTGTCGGAAATTCTTTTCTAAAGAAGAACGCATGCACTTTCCTTCGAAGGCTTTCTTTCAAAAGACTTTCTAATTGAAATTTTGGTTTTCCTGGAGCTTTACGTGCTGTTTGAAACTCGCCACATTTCTCTTCTTTAACAACTCTGTAAATCGTAGATTTCCCAACACCAAGCGTACTACTAACTAATTCCACTGTGTCATCAACACTTTTATATAAATGTTTGTCTGTAAATGATTTAAAACAATTAAATATTAATGTTTTTTCATTAACTGTTAAAGGACCGATTTTTTGTCGTTTACGCGGCCCTTCCAAATTTTCCATGATCACACTAGAATTCACACTGCACCTTGCAAGTTGCAACTAAACGACATTTAGTAAACTGTCAAGAATACACAACTTGGACCTCCCTACTAAATGGAAAATTTATAATCGCATTTTCGGTGAAATTTGTTGGGAAGGTATTTATCTACTCATAATTCGATTACTGTAAGAAATTCTTGGAATTAAAATAAAACAAAATTGGCAAATAGGTACTTATTGAAAATAATCTTAAGATACGGCTATGTAATCTTTAATACACAGGGCTTTTGGCCTGTTCAAACCTTTTTCTATTGTTCTGTACAGCTTATGTTTATAAAGGACCAATAAAAGACCCAAAACTTGTAATAGCTCAGGTACATTTATTACAATTTTAGGAAATATTTAGATTATTCTGTAAAAATATTTAAAATGACCGTACTAAGTTTTGCATTAGAAATGCTGTTTTATTACTCTTTCATACATAAAAATAGACTATAGCGCCGGGCAATTATCAAAATAAATAATCGATTATTAATGATTTAAAATAATCGATTATTTTTAAATCAATTGTTTTTAAATAAACAATCAATTAATTATTTTAGATTAATCGATAATTTTCATTAATCGATTTTTTTTCATTAATAGATTTTTTTTCATTAATAGATTATTTTGTATTAATCGATTATTTAATTAATCAGTTATTTTCGATTATTCAATTAATCGATTTTTTCTATTGATCGATTATTTTTAAATAAGCGATTATACAATCAATTGATTAAACAAATATTTATGATAAATGAATTATTTTCGATTATTCAGTTAATAAATTATTTTCGATTATTCAATTAATCGATTATTTGTTAATAATTAATTATTCAATTAATCAATTTTCTCTATTAATCGAATATTTTGAATAATCTATCGATTCTTGTATTAATAGATTATTTTTTAATAATCGATTGTTCAATTCATTGATTATTTTGAATTAATCGATTATACAATTAAATAATTAATCGAATATTTATGATTAATCAATTATTTAATTAATTAATGATTTTCGATTATTCATTTAGTCGTTTATTTTCTATTAATAGATTATTTCTTAATCGATTGTTTTTTATTAATCGATTATTCAATTCATTGATTATTTTGAATTAATCGATTATATTTTAATAATCGATTATACAATTAAATAATTAATGGAATATGTATGAATAATAAATTATTTAATTAATTAATGATTTTCGATTATTCGTTTAATCGATAATTTTTTATTAATCGATTATTTTTTAATAATTTAATATTCGATTAATCGATTATTTTTTATTAATCCATTATAGAATAAATTAATCGAATTGTCATGATTAATCAATTATTCAATTGAGCAATTTTCGATTATTTAATCAATAATTTTCGATTATTTAATCAATAATTTTCGATTATTCAACTAATCGATTATTTTTGAATAATCTATGATTAATCGATTGTTCAATAAATCGATTATCTGGTATTAATTGATTATTTTGAATCAATCGATTATTATTGAATAATCTATTAACAATTAATTGATTAATCGAATAGTTATAATTAGTTATTTAGTTAATAAATTATTTTCAATTATTTAACTAATCGATTTTCTCTATTAATCGATTATTTTTAAATAATCGATTATACAATTTATTAATAGAATATTTATGATTAATCAATTTTCGATTATTTAATTAATCAATTATTTTTTATTAATTGATTATTTAATCTTTTTTCTTATTAATCGAATATTTTGAATAATCTTTCCATTGTTCAATTAATAGAATATGTTTAATTAATCGATTATTTTTTATTAATCCATTATACAATTAATTCATCCAATATTCATGATTAATCAATTTTCTATTATTTCATTAATCAATTATTTTCGATTATTTAATTAATCGATTATTCAATTTCTTTGATTATTTTGAATCAATCGATTATTTTTAAATAATCGATTATACCATTAATCAATAATTTTCGATTACTCGATTGTTCAATAAATCGATTATTTTTTATTAATTGATTATTTTGAATCAATCTACTATTTTTGACTAATTGCTTATACAATTAATTGATTAATTAAATATTTAGGATTAATCAATTTATCAATTATTTTCGATTATTTAATTAATCGATTTTTCTTTAATCGATTATTTTTGAATAATCGATTATACAATTAATTAATTAATTTCCAGTCTCCATGACGTTTTAATGTTGTCATTGAAGCTCCAGAATCAGCAACCAATGTTGCAGATGAACGTCTGAGGCAATGGCCAGTATATCTCTCAGGGTTTGGTAATTGTAAAAACGTAGCAATTTGCTTTCCTATTGCGCTAAACTTGTTTATTCCTATCACTTGTTTTGTACACTTTCCTTTTTGGAAATTGAGAAAAAAAATCTTGTGGTGCATTTTCGGGCCGGAGGTCTATATATTTTTTAACGATTTTAAAAAAATTATCCACAATTGTGAAATTCCTTGGGACTTTGGTTTTTGTGTGTGGCACGTTTACTTGAAAACATCCCTCAAAACATCTTAAATCCCCAATTTTCATATTCATGACCCCCATAATCAAGGCAACCTTAAAAAAATGTGTAGGTTAAGTTAAAGAATTTTGATTTTCGATTCGAGTTTTTACCTTTGTTCCAAGATATTTAAAATTTGGGGCTTCCTTTATAAACCTCTCAATTTGTTCACCAGTCAGAGCTTCAGATTTCTTAGGTTCGTAATTTTCGGATCGTCTTTTCAACAAAGCACGTAATCTCGGATATTTATCAATGTCGACATTGTGCTTGATGTTTAACATGCTTTTTAGCATGGAATAGTTTGTCCATAAAGTAGACGATTTGTATTTACTAGAAATTCCAGTGTCTTCGGAAAAAGAGGATACATTTTTTGTTTTTTTTTTCCACGACATAAATTTTTTGTATGCAATCTCATAATTTTTCCTCGACATTTCAGGTAATAATTCCAACGACGCCACTTTAGCAGCGTCGCGGATTTCGAGGTGTTAGTTCCATGTAATCATCGTCTTCTATTTTTTTTTAATTGATAAACACTTAAAACGGGCTTAATATTTTAAGTTTAATTTCAAAAAAGAATCGGGACCAACGAATAACTGTCAACATGCTGTCAACTAACTTGTCAAACACATACTAGATCTAATGATTTTTAATTCTAGTGGGGTATAATTGACAAAAATCGTGTAATATGAATATATTCTCACTAGCGATATATGGATTGCTTTATGTTGCCTTAGATACGCATATAATACATCCATATAATGACAGTTGTAGATAAATAGTATATTATTAAACGAGCAATTTATGGTAGCCATTATTCACGCAGGGTGACGTTTGCGTCCCGAGCTGTAGGCGAGGGGCGCAAGTCACCCGAGTGAATAATGGCCATAAATTGCGAGTCTAATACTATACTTTGTCCACGACCATTATGGTTTCTTTATTAAATAAAAGTTAAGTGTGAATGGAAAGTTTTCATTAAACATAGGTAACTAATTGTTGTTTTTTCGACTTTTCAATTTTTCGTTTTTATCGATTTTTTTTTATTTTTCGATTTTTTTTTTCGATTTTTCGATTTTTTTCTTCGATTTTTTGATTTTTTTTTTTCGATTTTTTTCGATTTTTTGATTTTTCGATTTTTTTTCGATTTTTTCGGTTTTTCGATTTTTCGATTTTTTTTCGATTTTTCGTTTTTTTTTATTTTTCGATTTTTTTCCGATTTTTTCGATTTTTCGATTTTTTTATTTTTTTTTCGATTTTTTGATTTTTTTTTTCGATTTTTCGATTTCTCGATTTTTCGATCTAGAAAATATCGTTATGAAAAGTATCGCCTATCTTTAGTTATCTATCGGAATGTGCCAGAATTACAAAAGCGTGAATTATCATAATTCACTCCGTGATATATGGGTACTATATGCTTTTAGTTAGGAGGTAGAATATTGATTTATTATTAAGTGGTCGTGGACAAAACACTTTTTTGTCCCAAATCGCTACAATTAATTTTTTAAATTGTTGTTTTATTTTAGGAAACGTGCCAATATCAAAATGCGACGCCTCGGCTAGAATATTTAGAAACAATTATAAAACTTACAAAGATCAACTATTAAAAAAACTATTCAATTTATACAACGAGAAAGTTTTCGATAACGTCCTTCCTCGCGATATGCTTTTGGAATGGGGTTGCCGGATGAGAAAAACGGCCGGATTTTGTTATTGCAAAAAAATCACTAGAAGTAAAGGACACATCGAGAGATCCGCTAGGATAGTGTTGTCCGTTAAAGTGGTGGATACGGCGGATAGGTTGAGAGATACATTAATACACGAGATGTGCCATGCTGCGACTTGGATTGTTAGCGGTATATCCGATGGGCATGGAGATTTTTGGAAAGCTTGGTAAGTTGTTTAAAATTTTCTGATTGATAATTGTTTTTGCGTCATTTTATCTGCATTGGGGAAAAAGAAAAAAGTAACTGAAATTTTCAAATTTTTGACTAAACTGTTGGTTGAGTAACGCCAGATCACTTTGTATGTTGAAATTATTATAAACAGAATACGTAATGTTAGTTTAAATTTTCTTTTTTGACAAAATAAAAATATTGTGATACAAAAAGTAATTTTAATCTATAATCTATATATATAAAATTGTTTGTCTTGACTGACTGACTGACTGACTGACTGACTGACTGACTGACTGACCTATCAACCTACAGCCAAAACTACTGAGGCTAGAAGGCTGAAATTTGGAACATAGGTTTCTTTTATAACGTAAGCATCCGCTAAGAAAGGATTTTTGGAAATTTCAACTTTAAAGGGGGGAAATGGGAGAAAATGGGGGAGGGAGCTTTTAAGAAACTCTTTGTTCTTTAAAGTTAGAAACATGAAAATTTAAATTACAGCTACTAAGCATAAATAAATAATGACGTGTTTCAGGGTTTTTGGAATTTCACATTTTAGGGGGGGGGGGGGGAACGGGGGGGTGAAAGTTTGCATGGGACTATCGATTTTTTTTTGTTCTCTATGAAATTAGAAACATGAAAATTGGAATTGCAGCTACTGACTACAAATGACGTGTTTCAGGGTTTTTGGATTTTCACATTTTGCGGGGGGAAATGGGGGGGTGAACATTTATTTGGAAGTTTCCATGTTTTTGGTTCTCTTTAAAGTTAAAAACATAAAAATTGGAATTGCATCTACCGAGTACAAATTAATAATAATGTGTTTTAGGGTTTTTATATTTTTACATCTTGAGGGGGTCAAACGGGGGGTGAAAGTTTGTATGGGAGTACATCTTTTTTTGTTCTCTTTGAAGTTAGAAACATGAAAATTTGAATTGCAGCTAATGAGTACAAATTAATAATGACGTGTTATAGGGTTTTTGAATTTTCACATTTTAAGGGGGGGAAACGGGGGGAGTGAAAGTTTATTTGGAAATATCGATTTTTTTAAAGATAGGAACTTGAAAATTGAAATTGTAGGTTCTCATCATAAATAAATAATGAATTTTTTCTGGATTTTTGCATTTCAATATTTTAAGGGGGAAAATGGGGGGTGAAAATTTGTTTAATAGTATGTACATATTTTTTTGTTTTTTAAAGTTTAAAACATAAAAATTTGAATTACAGCTACTGACTAAAAATTAAAAATGATGTGTTTTATGGTTTTTGGATTTTCACATTTTAAGGAGGGAAAACGGGGGTGAAAATTTGTATAAAAATAGAAAGAAAATTAAAAAAAATAATAATTATTAAAAATTAATTAATAAAAATGAATAAAAATTAAAAAAATTAATAAAAATTAATAAAAATTAATAAAAATTAATAAAAATTAATAAAAATAAATTAATAAAAATTAATAAAAATTAATAAAAATTAATAAAAATTAATAAAAATTAATAAAAATTAATAAAAATTAATAAAAATTAATAAAAATTAATAAAAATTAATAAAAATAAATTAATAAAAATTAATAAAAATTAATAAAAATTAATAAAAATTAATAAAAATTAATAAAAATTAATAAAAATTAATAAAAATTAATAAAAATTAATAAAAATTAATAAAAATTAATAAAAATTAATAAAAATTAATAAAAATTAATAAAAATTAATAAAAATTAATAAAAATTAATAAAAATTAATAAAAATTAATAAAAATTAATAAAAATTAATAAAAATTAATAAAAATTAATAAAAATTAATAAAAATTAATAAAAATTAATAAAAATTAATAACAATTAATAAAAATTAATAAAAATTAATAAAAATTAATAAAAATTAATAAAAATTAATAAAAATTAATAAAAATTAATAAAAATTAATAAAAATTAATAAAAATTAATAAAAATTAATAAAAATTAATAAAAATTAATAAAAATTAATAAAAATTAATAAAAATTAATAAAAATTAATAAAAATTAATAAAAATTAATAAAAATTAATAAAAATTAATAAAAATTAATAAAAATTAATAAAAATTAATAAAAATTAATAAAAATTAATAAAAATTAATAAAAATTAATAAAAATTAATAAAAATTAATAAAAACTAATAAAAATGATTAAAAATAATTAAAGATGTTTGATTAAAAATGATTAAAAATGATTAAAAATGATTAAAAATGATTAAAAATGATTAAAAATGATTAAAAATGATTAAAAATGATTAAAAATGATTAAAAATGATTAAAAATGATTAAAAATGATTAAAAATGATTAAAAATGATTAAAAATGATTAAAAATGATTAAAAATGATTAAAAATGATTAAAAATGATTAAAAATGATTAAAAATGATTAAAAATGAATAAAAATTATTAAAAATGATTAAAAACGATTAAAAACGATTAAAAACGATTAAAAACGATTAAAAACGATTAAAAATTATTAAAAATTATTAAAAATTATTAAAAATTATTAAAAATTATTAAAAATTATTAAAAATTATTAAAAATTATTAAAAATGTTTAAAAATGATTAAAAATGATTAAAAATGATTAAAAATGATTAAAAATGATTAAAAATGATTAAAAATGATTAAAAATGATTAAAAATGATTAAAAATGATTAAAAATGATTAAAAATGATTTAAAATGATTTAAAATGATTAAAAATGATTAAAAATGATGGATTAAAAATGAATAAAAATTATTAAAAATTATTAAAAATTATTAAAAATTATTAAAAATTATTAAAAATTATTAAAAATTATTAAAAATGATTAAAAATGATTAAAAATGATTAAAAATGATTAAAAATGATTAAAAATGATTAAAAATGATGTAAATTTAAAACGGCATATGCGATTTTGCTGAAATTTGGTATATTGGTAGAGTTTTATGTGGCAAAAAAAATGGTATTAAAATTTTGTCCGATAATAATACATAGGCGTAGAACTTGATTTTTTAAATAATTGCACCTTTTAAAATTCTACGCCAATGGAAGAAAAGGAGTTTGAGTATGAAATTTAGATTGCGCAACTCATTTACTTTAAAAAAGGTACTCTTGATAAGACTCGATTACTCTCATGGTTTTCGCTAAATTTCTGTTTTAATAATTTAGGTTTCACAAAAATATTTATTTACAACATAATCAAAATAGAGATTTTACAAAAATTGTTCAAAATGTTCACCATTTTCACGCATACAAAGATTTATACGTCGAAGAAAATTAAAATGTATCCTTTCCATAACTTCTTCATCACCTCTAAGATTGTTTATTGCATCTTGAATACATTGCCAGAGTTGTTCCTCATTTTCTACAGGTTCCCTGTAAACTGTGGATTTCAGATGTCCCCATAAAAAGTAATCCATCGGTGTTAGGTCTGGGAAACGTGGTGGCCAGTTTACAGGTTCGTCATTACCTCTGCCTATCCATTTGTGTGGATATTGTTCATTCAAGTGGTTTCTAACGTTTAAAGAAAAATGTGGTGGAGCTCCATCTTGCATAAACCACATATCTCTCCGAAGTTGGAGAGGTAAATCTTCTAACAATTCTGGCAACGTATTTTGTAGAAAATCCAAATAATTTTCTCCAGTTAATCTTCGTGGAAGTATTACAGGACCAACAATGAAATTACCAATTATTCCAGCCCACACATTAATTTTGAATTCGTGCTAAAAATGGTTTACCTTTTTTGCATGCGGATTTTCAATGGCATAAACATGTTCATTATGGGTATTATTTATACCTCTTCTTGTAAAACCCGCTTCATCGGTAAAGAGAACCTTCTTGACAAAGTTTGGATCTCTTTATCTTTGCATATTAACAAATCGACAAAAACCCAAACGAATTTGAGGATCATGGACTAATAATTCTTGTACTGGCTTCTTATGGTATGGATATAGCAATTGTTCTCTAAGCACTTTATGAACGACATCTTTACTTACTCCTAGTTCCCTTCCAATTCGTCTGGTGCTTAATTCTGGATCTTCTTCAACACGTTCTAAAATGTCTTCTTCAACTTCAGGAATCCTTACAAAACGTTCTCTTCCATTATCAACAGTGTTGGGAGCAAAGGAACCGGTCTCCCGAAGACGTCTCTCAACAGCAGCAAAAGTTGGGTGGCTAGGTACACGACGATTTGGAAACCTTTCAGAGTACACCCTGACACTCTTTCGAGCATTTCCTTCACAAAATCCTAATGTCAGTAACATATCAGTATATTCTGCATTGGTATATTGTACAGCCATATTAATAAACCACACATTTGTTTTTTTTTAATTATTGAGTCAGATAGAACACATTCAATCGTTAACAAGAGATTAGGTGTTAAAACTTGACAATATTTTTATTTAGATGGAACTATGGAAACCAACAATAAATGTTTTTGTATACGTATTGCAGGCAAATAATTAATATTCCTCAAAAAATCGTACATGACAAGAATCGAGTATTTTTGTTAAAAGTCTCAATTAGAGGTATTGAAGAAGATATGAAAAAAGTACATTTTTATGTTTTTCATCGTATAAAATTTTGTCCGATAATAATACATAGGCGTAGAACTTGATTTTTTAAATAATTGCACCTTTAAAAATTCTACGCCAATGGCAGAAAAGGGGTTTGAGTATGACATTTTGATTGGGTACTCATTTACTACAAAAAAGTACCCTTGATAACACTCGATTTACTCTCATGGTTTTGACAAAGTTTGTATTTTAATAATTATTGTTTATGTTCTAAAATTACTAAAATGCAAATTTCGTCAAAGCCATCAGAGTAATCGAGTCTTATCAAGAGTACCTTTTTTAAAGTAAATGAGTTGCGCAATCTAAATTTCATACTCAAACTCCTTTTCTTCCATTGGCGTAGAATTTTTAAAGGTGCAATTATTTAAAAAATCAAGTTCTACGCCTATGTATTATTATCGGACAAAATTTTAATACTATTTTTTTGCCACAT